AAAGGGAGTTATGGTTGCTGTGGTGGTTTCAAAATACAGACTCGGAATCTTTGATGTTCCTCTCTTCAAAAGGCAAACCTGAGTGCTTGTCCCCTTGGGTGTGAGTCAAAGAAACTTGCTTCTAATCAACAAATTTCTCTCTAAGCCCTGCTAGCACTGCATCTCACAAATGTTGATAAGTTCTGTTTTTATTTAGTTCCAAATTAATTTTTTCTCTTGAGATTTCTTCTTTGAGCCATGCACTATATAGGACTGTGTTGTTTCATCTCCAAATATCTTGAAATTTTCCAGCTATCTTTGTGCTATTGATTTCTAATTTAATTCTGTTATCTGAGGACATATTTTGCATGCTTTCTGTTCTTTTACATTTGTTAAGGTATGTTTGATGGCCCAGAATGTGGTCTAGCTTCCTGAATGTTCCATGCGAGTTTGAGAAGAACATGTATTCTTCTGTTGTTGGACGGAGCAGAGTTAACCATTGAACAACACAGGTTTGAACTGTGCAGGTCCATTTATACACTGATTTTTTAAAAAATAAGTACAGGACAGTACTGTAAATGTATTTCCCCTTCCTTATGATTTTCTTTTCTTTCCTTTCTTTTTTCTTTCTTCTTCTTCTTTTTTTTTTTTTTTTTTTTAGATTTTATTTATTTATTTTACAGGGAGAGAGAGTGAGACAGAACACAAACAGGGGGAGTGGCAGGCAGAGGGAAAGGGAGAAACAGACTCCCTGCTGAGCAGGGAGCTTGAAGCAGGACTCCATCCCAGGACTCTGACATCAGGACCTGAGCCAAAGCCAGATGCCCCTAAATAGTTTCATAAAATTGAATTATTTAATTATCACAGCCACTCCCTGCTGGGCTGTGCTAATTGGTATAAGAGGTTTGAAAGGATCAAGAATGTATGATTGCTGCTATGCCAGGCCAAAGTCAACCTGTTCATTTCTTCCAACTCTGCATACACCGGGTAATGTACTGACAATGCGAAATGGAGGATACAAGTAACTCAAATGGTGTATCATCAAATAATGTTGTACATCATCCTGCACACACACACACACACACACACACACACACACTCACACTCACTCACTCACTCACATACCACAAAGGTTTCCAGAGTATAAACTTCGCAAAGCAATGGCCTTTCTACTTTATAATGCCTGAAAATTCTACCTGGAGATCTTTACCCATTTTACCTTAGAGGATTTTTATGGGATCTTGGATTCACTTTCAAATTTAAGCATTTTAAAATTCAACAAGTCTAAAAATCTTACCAAGGCTCTCCTAGGCCTGATGATTTCAGGTAAAAACTAAAGAAAGAAATTCACATAAATCCTTATTAAAGCATTATGATGTTTGAAGCTTTGTGCTAAATAAAGTATGGGACAATGTTGATGGGGTGAGGGAGAAGCACAAGGAAAGGCATTTTAGGTTAACATGTTACCATCCAGCAAAGATGCTGTAGTTACCCCTTTCTAAGTAAAAAACAATTTTTGCTACAGCAGACACTAATATTTTGTACTCAAGGCATTCAAATTCCTCAATCTGGGCCAATCTCATGGTTGTTAAAATGATACACGCATACTTTCTGGGTTACTCCTTATTTTAAAATACTGAATTTTGCCCAATTCTCAGACCAAGTGTTCCAATTTTAGATTAAAAATATAGTTGGGGCGCCTGGGTGGCTCAGTCGTTAAGTGTCTGACCTCGGCTCAGGTCATGATCCCAGGGTGCTAGGACCGAGCCCGCACAGAGCTCCCTACTCAGCGGGAGGCCTGCTTCTCTCTCTCCCACTCCCCCTGCTTTCGTTCCCTCTCTTGCTGTCTCTCTCTGTGTCAAATAAATAAATAAAGTCTTTAAAAAAAAAAATATATATATATATATGTCACACTACTCGTCCCACGGTATCACCTCTCCCCACGTCTGTCAAACTTTCTACCAACAGAGAATCGTGCTTTGCGTCCTGAAGCGGACGTAACCGAAGGGGACGCGGAAACCTACGTGGGATTCATCCTTGCGTGCTTGCAGGCAGAGTCCCTAACCCCGTTTTCCACGTCACTCAAATGCAGAGCTGCAGCAGAAAGCCTCTTCAAGGCTCCTTGCATCTGCAAGACTTTTGAGATTAAAATGCATCTCTTCTTGGGAGAGAATTCACATAAAGCACGCATAGTAAATTAGCTAGTCGAGGGCCAGGCCAGCCGCAGGGTTGGACTGAATCTGGTTTCTCTTTGAAAAGCCTTCCCGGGGAGAACACCCCCGCCAGCAACAGAGCGCGCCCCGGCACCACGTGTCTGCACCAACGGCGGGATTGGCGGAGCGCATTTTAGCGCTGCGGTCTAGACGCGCACGGTCCCGCCCAGCTGCCAGACGAACTGGGACGCGGAGAGGAGAGGCCGCAGGGAGATCGTCCAGGGGAGGGGGGCGGGAGGGGGGTGGGGGATTCCGAGGAGCCCGCGGCCGGGAGTCTGGGAGGGCCCGAAAGGCGCCAGGCCCGCCGCGCCACAACTTGCCCAAACCAGACAGGCTTCCTTCTGCGCCCTGGAAGAAGGAGCCGGCCCGCCGCTTCCCGCTCGGCTGCTCCTCGGCCTCCGTGGGCCCTGCCTGCGCCCGCAGCGCGTCTGGGGTCTGGGTCCCCAGCGTCGCTCCCGTCCGCCTGCAGCGCCCGGCGCCCGCCAAGGAGCGCGCAGCTGGGGTGAGCCAAGGCCCGGGATGCGCCTGGAGCCCTTGGGAGCCCGCGGCCGACCCGGCATCTCTGTGCCGGCGTAGCCAGGGCCTCCTCCCGCTTCCCCCCATCGCGAGCCCAGGCACTGCAGACCCCGCTGGCGTGGCTGCGGCAGCCCCCCACTCCCCGTTTCCCTTCTCCCCCGGACAGTGCCGGGGCCACCCCGGAGCCTGTGTAAGCTGGCCTTTGTCTTTGCGGGTTCCACCGGCCACCCGCCGTGCGCCCGGGACTGGAGGCGCTGCGCGGGGCTGCCGCCCAGCCCCGGCAAGAGGGGCGGAGGGAACGGGAAAGCGTGCCCCCTTCTTTCCTGTTCCGGCCATCTTGGGGCCGTGATTCAGCCCAGGGGCAAGGGTGGCCCCCCGAGCGGCTCTCTCTGCGCCCAGAGTGGCGGCAGCGAACGTAGATGGGCGCTCCGGCCCCGCGCGCCGCCTCCTCCTCCTCCGACCGCAGTGGGGGCGCGCGGAGAGCCCCCCACGTTCAGCTCCAAGGGCCTGGGTCCAGAGCATGGGTGACTCTAACAGGCCAGAGGCAGAGAAAATAGGAGGGATACGGGCCGGGATCTGACATTTACTTAACAAAACGCCGAATTCATTCAATTATTCCTTATCCACGTGTCCATTTGGCAAATTCTCAACCCTCTCTGTGCCTGAACTTTGCCAGGTGCTGAGGACATAACGGTGAGCAAGAAAAATCACAGCCCTTGTTCCCGCTGATCCTGCAGCCCGGTGGATGGAGCCCACAGCCCACAGACCTGCCAGGTCGGTATCCTGACGTCCCTACACAGGTTGGGAAACTGAGGCCCGGGGCTGACATAACTTGTTTTAGGTCAAGCAGCAAGTAAATGGAAGACTCAAACTTTGAACCTAGGTCTGTAAGTCTTTTATGCCAGCTGCAGTGAACCGTTAATAGTTCTTTTTCCCCCAAAGGCCCCTTCAAAGTTATCTGCATGTACAGTTTATGTGAAGTCATATGAAGTGTGTTCTCTATTCCCTGGATGCTTTTATGTGAATTTATTTCTAGTTTGCAGTATCTGGAAAGTGCTAAAAATATTTGACATTACAACTTTGCATTAAGTTACCCTGAATTGTATTTTCTTTTCTTCTATTCACATATCTGGCTGTTAGGAAAGAAAAAAAATTTCCTGATGGTTGTTCCAAGCAGGGACTCCCCCGTGGATTGAGGAATGTGTGGCTTTTCCTCAGCTCATTGATCCCTGTGGTAGCCACGGGCAGCACCCAAAGGACCCCAAGAATGAAAGGCCTGTGGCCTGCAAGTTGCTGCTAGAGATATTTTAGCCTCTCCATATAACAGAATGCAGCTGTCACACAAGTTCTTAAGGTAAAACTTGATGGTACAAAGCTGATGGGTAATGTTCCCTTCCATATAATTTTTTTTTTACCTTCACATTTTGAGAGTGTATCCATTTGGAAAGACAAGTGAAGTATTACTATCTGGGGAAATTCCTTCATTTGTACTTCTATCAGTATCTTATATTTAGGTAGGCAATTCATAGAGGAAGAAAGACTCCATTTTTAAAAAGGGTCTTGGGTATAAGGAATTGAGAAAAGGTGCCATCAAATAGAATGAGCTACTAATTTAATTTTTTAAACTATTTCATTGCGGTATAATAAACGAATGCACCCTTCATCGTCAATGTCCAATTCGATAAATTTTGATAAATGTGTGTACCAGGTAATCAACAGACAGCACAACGAAAGTACAGAATATTCCTGTTACACCGCAAAAGTGTCTCTCTGCTCTTTTGCAGCCAATTCCCCTCCATCCCATTTCATTTTACAGTTTTGTTGCTTAACGTTAAGTTGTGAGTAAAAGATGAGGATGAATAGCATTTCTAATCTCAAAACCTAGGGCGAGGGCGGGAGTAAAATAACCGGAGGCTGGCGGCTGGGCCCGAAAGTGCCGGGGGTGGGGGTGGGGGTGATGTGGCTGTCTACTCCATAGGAACTGGGGAGTGTCAGCCCCAGAGCCAGGGAGGGGAGTAATCCAGGGAGCCAGCGCCCAGGAGATCCCCTCTCCGGGTGGACGCGCTCGCCCACGAGGTCTTTTCTGGTCCCGCAGGGCCCTGGGCGCCCGCTGACCGCTCCCCGGCAGGCGCGCCCTTCGCTCCAGGTCCCGGCCGGGGCGCTGCCATAGCAACGGCCTGGACGCCCCGACCTTAGGCCGCCGCCGCCGCCGCGGGAGACCGGGCCCTCTCCCGCTCCCGAGGGGTGGGGCGGCGGCGGCCCGGGAGGCGGCCCGGGCCGGGTAGACGGGACCGCCCCCTCCTCGGATGCCGGCGGAGGCGGCGGTTTGCTTCCAAGCATGGTAAGAGTGGTGAGATCGGGCTGCCTGGGCACGTGGGGCTGGCGGGGGCCGCGGCTCCCGGGACTCCCAGTTCCCCCACCACCGCCACGCTGTCTCCTCCCCACAGCCCTTCCAGAAGCACGTCTACTATCCGCTGGCCAGCGGCGGCCTGGAGGGCCCCGACGCCCCCGCAGCTGCCTCGGGCGCGCGCTCCGCGATGGCCAGTGGCCCCTACAGCGCGGCGTCGGGCCCCCTGCCCTTCTTCCAGTTCCGGCCGCGGCTGGAGAGCGTGGACTGGCGGCGGCTGAGCGCCATCGACGTGGACAAGGTGGCGGGGGCGGTGGACGTGCTGACGCTGCAGGAGAACATCATGAACATCACCTTCTGCAAGCTGGAGGACGAGAAGTGCCCGCACTGCCAGTCGGGGGTGGACCCGGTGCTGCTGAAGCTCATCCGCCTGGCGCAGCTCACCATCGAGTACCTGCTGCACTCCCAGGAGTTCCTCACGTCGCAGCTGCGCGGCCTGGAGGAGCGCCTGCGCCTGAGCGTGGCCGAGAGCGAGCAGAGCCAGAAGCTCCTCGCCAAGCAGGCTGGGGAGATGAAGCTGCTCAAGGAAGAGTGTAAACGCAGGAAAAAGATGATCTCGACCCAGCAGCTGATGATCGAGGCCAAAGCCAGCTATTACCAGGTGGGACTACGCGTTGTGATTCCAGTTCATAATCCATTAAAAAAACCCTCGGTCCCCACCGGCCAGGATATGGAGAGCCCTTTCCTAGATCACTCCCCGCCCCCTCTTTTTCCCCAATAGTTAAGCAAAATAGTAATTGTAACCAACAGGTGACATGGTTCATTACCTTCCGTAGACGACCATGGGATTAATAATTAAACTGTCCACGGCGCTTTATTGAAGCCATCTAAATGCTGGTTTGAGAAATTGCATCCTTCTTCTAATCGATGGAATGAAAAATAAACCTTTTACAAACTGCTGTTGAGGTCTGCCCCAGATGAGGTCGGATGATGAAACTTGTGGGCGTTTTATTTCAAAATATTTTCAAACTTACGGAAAGGTTGTAAGAATAGTGCAGGGAACCCCTCACCCAAATTCTCCGGTTTTGAACATTTGCCACCTTTGCTGTATTTCCTCAGTATCTATATGCATACTATTATTTTTAACCATTTGACAGTGAGTTTCAGACTCCTGAATATTTCAGTGTGTATATTTCCTAAGAACAAGAACACTGCCTACTATAACAATATTAGTGATATAAGACAACGGTGTGTTTTGATTGAACGGGTAGTATTTAAAATATATTTTATTACTAAAACAACAGGATTTAAAAGAGTAAAACCTCTTGCTTTTCTGCCTTTAATCTCTATTATGGGTTAGACATTGAGCTCAAATAAATATTGTAATTTTTTAGTATAACAAAAATCAATGTACTTATTTTTTTCTATCAACAATGTTTGATAAAGATATCTTTGGTAAAGATATTAAAGTAAGCAACAGGCTGACAAGATTGATTTCATTCCCTGACACTGTAGTCACTTTGGCTAAATATGAGTTAAAAGGTCTCAGTGAATGGGACGCCTGGCTGGTTCAGTTGGTAGAGTGTGGGACTCTTGATCTTGGGGTCATGAGTTCCAGCTCCATGGTAGGAGTAGAGTTTATTTAAAAAAAAAAAAAAAAAAAAGCCTCAGTGGGCTCAGGTACTAACGGTGTGAGTGATTGCAGAAGACTGGCCATAGGCACAGATAATGGTGTGGTTCATAGTGCTTAGGGCTAACCCACAGGAGCCTTGGGAGAAGTGTACTTAAAATAGGGGAACAGTTGGGACACCAGAGTGGCTCAGTCGTTAAGCGGCTGCTTTCGGCTGAGGTTGTGATCCCAGGGTCCTGGGATCGAGTTCCGCATTTGGTCCCTGCTCAGTGGAAAGCCCGTTTCTCCCACTCCCTCTGCCTGCTGCTGCCTCTGCTTGTGCACCCTCTCTTTCTCTCTGTCAAATAAATAAATAAAATCCTTTAAAAAAATAGGTGAACAGTTAGGAAAGAATATCATTAGAAAGCCTTAGTGGCTAGCCTTGGGTACACAACCCTGAGGTATAGCCCTCAAATAACAATTCATTGCCTATTTGTTTCATAAATTTATTTATAAATAGTGTTGATATGGCCTTTAATAAATATATTTATTATACAATGAATGGAATGGATTCTGTTTAGACGTTTAAAATAGTTCAGCGTTGGGCGCTAGTGGCTCAGTTGGTTGAGCACCATACTCTTGGTTTCGGCTCTGATCATGATCTCGGGGATCTTAAAATTGAGCCCTGCATCAGGCTCTGCACTGGGTGGGGAGTCTGAGATTCTCCAGCCTGCGTGAGCACACGCACGCTCTCTCTCTCTCTCTTTTTCCCTCAAATAAATAAATGAATCTTAAAAAAAATATTTTAGCTTTGGCAGTAATCTGTGAAATGTTAAAACCTATAACATACAGACATTTTTAGATTTATGAAGGTTTTTTCATTCTTTTAGTTACCATAGCAATAGCTGTTAGTAAAGATTTTCCAGTGTGAATGAGATACATAAATAAAGGTAATGGCTCATTTTTATGGAGTGACACCTGCCCGCTCGGCCACTCAGCAGACTCCCTGAATGACAATGTCAGGTGTATGGCGTGCCCAGGTGTGACCATGAAAAAGTAGAGGAGACCAGACCACTTTTTCCTACTCAGTGTAGTATAAATACACTCTGCTGTTTTGGGGGGCTCTTGATGGTGTCTTTGAGCAGTTAAGCCCTGTAGGGTGACAGTCCTAGAGTTAGACTTCGTGGATTTAAATCCAAAGTATTCCACCATGCAAGTCCTAGACCTCCGTTTCCTCATCTGGAAAATGAGAACGTTGGTGGTAGGGATACCTATTAGGGCTTTTCTGAGAATTCCATGAGATAATGCATGTGTGGCATGAGGAGGTCTGAGGAAATGGCATCTGACATGTGCATGTGGATTTCTCTTGGTAATGAACCGTGGCTGCCCATGATCTCTGCAAATCTTTACATCTTTCCTGGGAGCTGAATATTGTTGCTGTGCTGATGCCGTGAGAATCAGTGACTCTGGGAGGGGAAGTCAAGACTGCTGCTAAGAAAAGTTGATGCATAAACTAGCCTTGGGTTCTAAGGTGTTACAATTATTTTAACTTCAGTTTCCCGTGTTTGGGGATATTTGGCCTATGATAAAATTTGCAGAAATGCGATTGGTTTTGTTGAAATAGCTATTGGACCTTCCCCTCAGTCATTAAATTGTGTTTAAGTAGAGACCACTAACAGCTGGGGAAGTCTCGTGGCCATGGGTAAAGGCCAGTGCATACCAATGATCTATCAAATTATTTTTTTAATTAAAAATTTAGAAATACTGGGGTGCCTGGGTGGCTCAGCGGGTTAAACCTCTCTGCCTTCAGCTCAGGTCATGATCTCAGGGTCCTGGGATTGAGCCCCGCATCGGGCTCTCTGCTTGGCATGGAGCCTGCTTCCTCCTCTCTCTCTGCCTGCCTGTCTGTCTACTTGTGATCTCTGTCTGTCAAATAAATAAATAAAATCCTTAAAAAAAAATTAAAAATACCAATAAGTCATAACAGGACTTAGACTTATTCTAAGAACTTTTGTTCTCGTAATGGGAAGACTTAGATTCCTCTCCATGCTTTAGCACCCCAGGCCGATTTGGGAATCTGCCAGTGAATTTCTGACCCTCGTTGCAGTTTTTCAGTGTTTTGGAGTTAGAGATGAATGTTGGGGGGTAGCAAAAGCATGCATTTTGCAGTCAGAGAGACATAGTTTAAAATATGCCTCTGATGTGACCTAATTCATTCCCCATGTACCTCCCCCCCAACCAACCTGCTCAGCAGGGAGCCTGCTTCTCCCTCTGTCTGCCTGTCCCTCCCCCTGCTCCTGCACACACTCTTTATCCATCTCTTTCTCTTTCTCATAAATTAATAAAATCTTTAAAAAACAATAAAAATTTTTAAAAATCAAGGTCATCTAGGTTTTCACCTATGTTGTTTTTTAGGAGTTTTGTAGTTTCACATTTTACATTTAGGTTTGTGATCTGTTTTGAGTTAGATTTTGGGAAGGATGTGAAGTCTGTGCTGATGTTCCTTTTTTTTTGCGTGTGGATGTCCAGTTGTTCCAGCACCATTGTTGAAGAAACTATCTTTGTACCATTGTATTGTTTTCTCTCCTTTGTCCAAGATTAGGTGATATTCACATGGGTTTGTCTCTGGGCTCTCTCTTCTCCTCCATTGATCTGTTCGTCTGTTCTTTAGCTAGTACTACACTGTCTTGATTATTGTTGCTTTAAGTAGTGAGTCTTAAAGTTGAGAAACGTCAGTCCTTCAACTTTATCCTTCTCCTTCAATTCCGTGTTGACTATTCTGGGTTTTTTTAGCAAAATTTACAATCAGTTTGTTGCTACTCAAAAATCACTTGCTGGGATTTGGATTGGGATTGCTTTGAATCTAAAGATCAAATTAGGGAGAATTATTGACAATATTGAGTCTTCTTATCCATGAACATGGATATTCATTTATTTAGTTCTTCTTTGATTTGTTCTTCAGAACTTTGAAGCTTTCCTCATATAGATCTTGTACATATTTTGTTGGATTCATACCTAAGTACTCATTTTGGGGGGGTGCTAATGTAAATGGTGGTGTGTTTTTAATTTCAAATTCCAATATTTCATTACTGGAATATAGGAAAGTTGGCTTTAGTATATTAACATTATATCCTACAACTTTGGTATACTTTGTTCTTAGTTCTAAGGTTTTTCTTTGGTCAATTCTTTTGGATTTTCTATATACATTAGTGTCATCTACAAACAAAGAAAATTCTGTGTCTTCCTTCCTAGGCTGTATTTTTTTTTGTGTGTGTATTTGTTATTTCCTTTTCTTGCTGTATTACATTAGCAACGACTTCCAGTACAATGTCTGTCTCTACAAGCTTGCAGGTGGTGGTTTGCCCGGTGTCTTCTTCTCTTATGGATCCAAGAAGAGTTGTTGATTTTTTAGTCTGTTCAGCTCTTTACTTATTGTTAGTATGGAATGGCAACTTTCAAGTTATTCAAACTGAAAGTTTTCTAACTTCGTTTTGATGTTTTTGTCATATGAAAGTTCATCATTTTTTAATTTTATTTTTACTTTAAAGATTTTATTTATTTACTTGAGAGAAAGACAGCGTGCAGAAAGAGCATGAGTAGGGGGAAGGAGCAGGGGAGAGGAAGAATCAGAATCCCCACTGAACAGAGAGCCCCAACATGAAACTCAATCCCAGAACCCTGGGATCATAACCTGAGCCAAAGGGAGACCCTTAATGGACTGAGCCACCCAGGCACCCCAGAAGTTTTTCATCTTGATGCAGTCACAATGTCAGACTTCTATTTTGGGGAATAGGAACCCCTTCTTACCCTGAGCTCATGGCTTTTCTGTATTATTCAAATAGTTAAAATACCTATTTTCCATTTTCAGCAATTAAAAGCCCCATATTTTAGGTTGCTTCATCCTTTCCTTTCTCCAGGGTTGTGCACAACGTTAGAGCCCACACTGACCCCTGAGTCAGGAGGACCGTCCATAAAGTATTGTGAGGAAATTCAAGCAGTCATCAGCAGCAGAGAAGGCTGGAAAGATATGTTCAAGGTTCCCTGAAACACGATGCCAGGAAATAGGGCATCCTGTGGGTTTTCTGGGAAAGAGAATCAGAGCTTGCCATGTAGGTTTCCTGATTCAGAGTAAGGCAACACCGTGTGCGAGTAGAATAGGTTAATAGCACATTGGAGATGAAACTGCAGAATCTAGACTGGGAGAAACTCCGTAGGACACATGTTCAGTTTCTTTGGCAAGCAAATTGCAAGGAAAAAGAGAGATGGAGGGTCAACTTCTAGATCAAAAGAGAGTTGAGAGACATGATGAGCCATTGCAGGATATGGCCTTATGTGGATCCTGATTCAAAACAAAACACTGTAACGTTTTTTTTCCTAAGGCAGTATGTGAAATATTGGAGAAAAATAATATTTTTAATGTTGACATTAGGGAATTAATTTTCACATTTTATTTTTATTTTTTTAAAGATCTTATTTATTTATTTGACGGAGAGAGATCACAAGTAAGCAGAGAGGCAGGCAGAAAGAGAGGGAGAAGCAGGCTCCCCTCTGAGTAGAGATCCTGATGCGGGGCTTGATCTCAAGGCCCTGAGACCATGACCGGAGCGAAAGGCAGAGGCTTAACCCACTGAGCCACCCAGGTGCCCCTAATTTTCATATTTTAATAGGTGGAATAATACTATTATGACTGTGTTAAAAGCAAGCCCTTTTAGAGATAGACTCTGAAATACTAAGAAATAAAAACATTTAATATTCACGGTATAATTCAGAGTAATACAGGTACGATGAAACAAGTTGAGTTTTTGCTTAAAATTTGAATCAGTGTTAAAGTGGAAAATGGAGATATTGGTAGCACTGATTTTTTTTTTTTTTCCAGTAAAATTTATTTAGGAAGCTAAACATTTCTAAGCATGTGTTCAGTCATTCATTAATGCTGGGCTGGGGATAATGCTATGAGTAAGATAGACAAGAGCCCATGGCGTCAGGAATAGGATGTTCTGGAACCCAGAGGCATTGGGCAGGAGACCATAAACAAGTGAAGTGTGTACATGTGGAAATAGTAACCGGTGAGATGTGCAATGTTGAAAATAAGGCAGCGGGATGGGACGGTGACTGGCAGGAGGACCGCCTGCAAGGGTCTGGTTGAGGACATGCCATTCCTCCCCTGTGTGGAAGATGCTTCAGGGAAGGTCAAGAAGGAGCCAGCGGGGAAGGTCTGGGGAAGATTCAGGCAGAGGTTGAAGTTGACCTGCTTGAGGGACAGAGAGAAGACCGGCATGGCTGGAGTGTCCCGAGCAAGTTGGTGACCGGCTAGGAACCACCTGTCTAATGGGAGCTGCAACCCGGGTTCTTGGAAGCACCAGGTTGGGCCACCGTGGCTGCCAGAGATAGTTTTCACTGTTTGGGGACAACACCCTGGTTTACAGTTGTACTTTTAGTCCTGCTTTTACATATCCCTGTGGGGGTAGAAAATTCCCCAGAGGTGGTGCTTTAGGGACCCGAATTTTTTTTTAAAGACTTTATTTATTCATTTGACAGAGATCACAAGTAGGCAGAGAGGCAGGCTGAAAGAGAAGGGGAAGCAGGCTCCCTGCTGAGCAGAGAACCCCACACCGGGCTCGATCCCAGGACCCTGGGATCATGACCTGAGCGGAAGGCAGAGGCTTTAACCCACTGAGCCACCCAGGCGCCCCAGGGACCCCAATTTTAATGGAACTTAGGTGGGAGGACACTGGTGACTGACCCTGGGATTTGCTGCTCTCTCCTTTTCAGTGCCATTTCTGTGACAAGGCCTTTATGAACCAAGCTTTCCTACAAAGTCACATTCAGCGGCGCCACCCCGAAGATTCTCACCTCGGTAAGTCACAGGCTCAACCTCAAAGAGCGGTTTTCCTTCGGGTCCCTGTTTCTTTTTCTCAGGGAGACGTGGTCCAGCGCATCTCTCAGTCCTTTGACAAGAAAGTATCATGGTCTTTGTTCATTCGTTAAGTAATGCTTGAGCCCCGACTCCGTGCCGTGCATGGCACCAGGCCTGGGGTCTTTCAGGAGGGGCGGAGGAGACGCACTCACACAAATAAATGAGTGGTTCTTTGCAGATGTGGCAGATGCAACAAAGAAAATAAAACAGGAGGATGGGCTGGGGGTGGTCGTCAAAGGCGTCCCTGAGGAGATGCTAGTTGATCGCAGGCAGAATGATGAGGAGGGGCCCAGCCTGGGGAAAATCTGGAAAATGGATATCCCAGGCAAAGGGAGCGACGATTGTCGTCAGGGTGGGGGGTGGGGGGTGGGGATGAGGGAGAGGTAGCACAGGCACGTTTGAGGAACAGATAGAAGGTTAGTGGAGTAGAGGGAGCAAGGTAGTAGGGGGCGGGGCGTTGGAGGGGAGGAGGCTGGGTCACGTGGGACCTCGAGGACCGCCCCCCCTCCCCGCCCCCGCCCCAGGCCGGCCAGGAGTATGAGTAGCTCCTGGTGGAAAGCATAGCGGCTGTGTTGGAAGCAGGTGAAAGAGTGAGGGGGGCTTGCCAGAGTAGCCCAGGCAAGTGACATGGCAGTGGAACTGGGGTGGTACCAAGGAAGACCAGATAAGTGAAGATGGAGAGGAAGTGTTCCACCCAGAGACCACAGAGGCATGTGACTATGCGTGAGAGCAAGAGATAAAGAAAGACAGTCCTGGGGTTTTGTCCTAGATGTTTGGGAGAATGGCGGCGGTGTTGACTCAGATGGGGATCTAGGGGCGGAAGTGGATTAAGGAAGGAAGGAGAATGAGAGTTCGTGTTGGTCAGAGCGAACTTGAGTCACACATACGATTGCCATCCAGGTGGGGATGTGGGGTGTCTGGAGGTCAAGGGAGAGGCCCAGGCTGCAGAGCTGGTCTGGAGGAGCTCACCTAGATGGGAAAGGGAAGACAGCTGAGGGCCAGGCCTAAGGCTCTTCCAACATGGGGAGCTCAGGAAGCACAGCTGAGGGCAGTGAGGAGTAGTTAACAGAGGCAGGGGGGAGAGCTGGGAGTGTGTTGTCATGGAAACCAAGGGAAACATGGGTTTCAGGAGGGAGGCAGTGGTCAGTTTATTGAAAGTTCTTGAGGCACAGAGTGAGATGAGGACCAAGGATTGGTTATTGCTGTTTCGATGGCTGCTGCTGACCTTGACATAGCAGCTTCAGTGGATTGGTGGGACAAAAGCCCAGAGAGAGTGAGCCGAGCTGAGAGTCAGGTGAGCAGTGGTCAGTAACATTTGCTGGGAGGGACAGCAAGAGACATGAGCATTGTCTGGAGGGAAATGTGGAACCAAGGGGAAATTTTTGTTTCCATTGATGTGGGAGCTACAAAAAAGTGTTTGGGTCCTTGACGTGAATTAACTATGTATAGAGGGGGAAATTAAAGAAACAAGAGAGGGCAGGGGTTCTGTGGCTTATCCAGGAATAAATGTTCTTAACGTAAAATAAATGCCAGGCCTCATTTCTCCATGAGCAGACAAAGCATTCTGCCAACTGCCTGTAGACCGGTAACCCACAGAAATCCTCATTATGGTCTTAAATGCTTTTAGCATCTAAATGTGCGTGCTGCTAGCTTGTTCCTAAGTGCTTGCTCTAGTTTCCTTTTTGGGCCAGTCTGTTTCCATTCCTGCCTATTTCAAACAAATAGATTTGTTTCGGAAATAGCTAAGCTTTGTATAAACAATACCAACAGCGGAAAATTCCATTTGTAAGTCCTGGACTCCTGATAAGAGTTTAGCAGTGTATTGGAGAAATTGGGAAGATTAAGTATTTTAATTAAACTACCATTCTTCAGTGTGAAACTGACCTTCTTTCTCTTCTGTTTCAGTATCTTATTCTATCTCATACTCGTTTCAGAGAGTGGTTCAGACTCTGAAATGAGTATTATTTCTTCAGGTCATCTTTGAGATTCTGACTTTCTACTTTGGTTTCCATACCTTTCATGTCTACACTCACAGACACATGTATATCCATTCAGTCATGTGCACATCTTCATGTAAGTACATGTACATAATAAGTACCTTCCCTTCACTTGTTGCTTCCTTTTACAACCTTTTGGTACCTCGTTTTGGCCCTGTGGACAGCATATGGCCCCAGTTTGCATTCTGAATACCAGCCTCTGCTTGTCTTAGCACCGGGGTTCTCAGGAGAGTGTGTGGTGGGAGCCAGAAGGACAGTGACTGTAGAGATTTCCAATATGGCGCTACCTATAGTGGAAGCTATTGGCTTCCCTTCTCTTGAGACTGGCATCTCCAAGAAGAGCTCAGGATTATTCTTTGTTACCATTAGCTTTCCCTGAACGGGCTCTCACACTGTCTCTGGAGGATAATCCAACACAGTGGCTGAAATAATGGGCTACAAGTAATTCAGCGCCCCTTAAGGTGAAGGGCTGCAAGTAAACACTCACGAGCAAAAATTGGCTCACGTGGCTTGAAAAAGTAGTAGTAGCCCAAGACAGAGCACTTTCCTTTGTCTTTGTCTTATCAATGAGGCTGTACCCCATAAGTTTTCAGCTAGGTTTCTGAAGAGGTGGTATTTTAACCGCATATTTCTGTTGCAACAGAGTATAAGAAAAAGGCACAGACTGATAAGCTCCAGAGTGAGATTGACATGCTCAAGGAGCAGCTGCAGCTCACCAGGTCTCAGCTGGAGGCTGCCCAGCACGCCCACGCCGTCAGGTTCTCCAAGGTAGGGTACTGAGTTCTGAACCGGTGGGATGTTGGGAAGGACCCGTATGAGTTCCTTTCAAACATTTGGTGGAATTCACCAGTGAAGCCCTCTGGTCTCGGGCTTTTCTTTGTTGGGAGGTGTTTGATTACTGATTCAATGCTCTGACTCATTATTGGTCTGTTCAGATTTCCTATTTTTCTCACGATTCAGTCTTGGCAGGTTGCCTGTTTCTAGGCATTTATCCATTTCTTTGAGACTGTCCAATGTGTTGGTATGCAACTGTATGCAGTAGATTATTACCATCCTTTGTAATTCCGTAGTGTCGGTTGTAATGTCTCTTCTTTCCTTTATAATTTGCCTGAGTCCTCTTTCAGTTTGTGTAGCTAAAAGTTTGTCAGTTTTGTTTATCTTTTCAAAAAAAAAAAAAAAAAACCCTCAGGTTTGTTCATTTTTTTTTTTTTTTTTTCTTTTTTTTTTTTTATTTTTTTTGGCATCTTTTTTTTTTTTTTTGATTAAAAATTTTTCTGTTTTTTTTTTTTTTTTAAAAAAAAAAAAAAAAAAACTCTCAGGTTTGTTCATCTATCCTATTGTTTTTCTATTCTTTTATTTTATTATTTATGCTCTAATCTTTATATTTCCTTCTGCTAACTTTGAGTTTAATTTTTTTTCCCTAGATCTTGAGGTGTGAAGTTAGATTGTTTATTTGAGATCTTTCTTTTTTTCTTGCCGTAGACATTTTTAGCTGTAAACTTTCCTCTTAGAACTGCTTTTGCTGCACCCCGTACATTTTGGTACGTTGTGTTTCCATTTTCGTTTATCTCGAGATATTTTTGACGTCACTTTTGATTCCTTCTTTGATCCATTGGTTGTTCAGGAGTGTATTGTTTAATTTCCATGTATCTGTAAATGTTCCAATTTTCCTCCTGTTACTGATTTCTAGTTTCATACCATTGTGTCAGAAAAGATACTTGACATAATTTTAGTCTTCTTGAGTTTGGTAAGACTTGTTTTGTGACCTAACGTGTAATCTATCCTGTTCTATGTGCACTGAAAAGAATGTGAATTCTGCTGCTGTTGGATAGTGTATGTCTGTTGGGTCCATTTTGTATGTAGCGTTGTTCAGATCTGTGTTTCCTTGTTGATTTTGTGTTTGGATGGCCTGTCTAAGGAGTATTAAAGTCCTCTATGATTACCATGTTGCTGTTTATATCTCATTTTTCTTTTGTTAGTATGTGCCTTATAAATTTGGTGCTGCAATATTGGACACATAAATATTTACAATTCTTATGTCTTCTATATTGCATAATAACCTTCTTTGTCTCTTGAGATCTTTCTCTCTTTCTTTAATGTTGGCATTTACAGCTATAAATTTCCCTCTGAGCACTGCTTTGGCTTCTTCTTTTTTTAAAATTTTCAGTATGTTGTGTTTTGATTTTTATTCATCTCAAAGTATTTTCTACTTGTCCTAGTGAGTTTTTCTTTGGCCCATTGTTTGCTTAAGAGTACATTGTTTAATTTTCAAGTATTCATGAATTTTCCAGTTTTTCTTCTGTTATTAATTTCTGGCTTCATTCTGTCGTGGTTGGGAATACACTTAGCATGATTTCAGTCTTTTAAAATTTATTGAGAATCTTTTATGACCTAACGTATGGTCTATCCTGGTGAATCTTCCATGTGCGTTTAGCAAGAAGGTATGTTCTGGGGTTGTTGGGTGCAGTGTTGTCTGTGTCAGACTAAGTTTATTTATCATGTTAAGTCCCCAGTTAGGTAAAAAAACCAAAAAGTTTAAGTCATTGAGAAATCAAAGGTTGATTGACTAGACCTTGAATTTAGCTTGTATAAATATGAATTTGTGTTTTTGGGCGATGAGATGGGGCTATTCCCTCTAAATGGATACAGCCTTGAGAGTGGTTCCTCTGCTCAATAGACATTTTCTTTTAAAGTATGTTTGCATTTTACGTATTATTGCATATCTGCTATGCAAATTCATAGACCACAGAACTCTACTCTTGAGACTTTGGGCGTCTGTGTTTGTACTTTAAGAGATGTAAGGACAGAAGGATGCTGTGTGCTGTTTTTGGTTTAGAAAAAATCACTGTGCACATGGCCAGGATAGGAAGTGAGATTGCAAACCTATCGGATACACACAGTATTAGCTGCCACACCGGAGGTGAAGCTATGTCCATTTATTTAAAATTTTACATATTTGCTTCATATCAGAACTTTTAAAGCCATGCATTAAAATAATTTCAGGAATATGAAATGCAAAAAACAAAAGAGGAAGAATTTCTCAAGTTATTTGATAGATGGAAGGAAGAAGAAAAGGAGAAACTGGTTGGTGAAATGGAAAAAGTCAAGGAAATGTTTATGAAGGAGTTTAAAGAATTGACTTCCAAGAATTCAGCATTAGAATATGTAAGTATTAAGCCAAAAAGTCCTCATAATATTGGTAGGGTTGTTGCCTTGAGAGGTGGTGTTAGAATAGCATTATGGCCAGCAGATCTAGAAATTACTTCATTGTGCCCAGACACCTCTCTTCCTGAGAGTGGTGAGGGAACCTAAGACATACAGAAGACAGAGCAAGTCAGCAATGTTGTCTTTGAGAGTGGGATCTTTGGTCCCAAACGCATGTGCAGAACACTTGGTACATTTGAGGGGCACCTGGCTGGCTCAGTCACTGGCGCGCAGACTCTTGATCTCAGAGTTGCGAGCTCAAGCCCCACGTTGGGGGGAGATATTACTTAAAAATAATTTTTTTTTCTTAAAGATTTTATGTATTTGTTAGAGAGAGAGAGAGAGAGAGTTGAAGCAGGGGGAATGGAAGAGCAAAGGGAGAAGTAGGCTCCCTGCTAACCAAGGAACCCCATGTGGGACTTAATCCCAGGACCCTGGGGTCATGACCTGAGCTTAAGGCAGATGCTGAACTGACTGAGCCATGCAGGTGTCCCAAAAGTTAAAAGAAATCTTAAAAAAAGAACACTTCATACATTTAGTACCTTTGGTCAGATCATAGAACAGGGTCTCTCTTTTCTTAGCTAGTGAGGTTTAGATAGCCATAAACCATAAACCCTTCCGTGAGTTTGAAGCTTTCAAAGTTCCGAAGGAACTTTCTGGAAAGGCTGACACAGGTCACCATTGTGGAAGCCAACCCAGAAAGACAGAAGTAGAACCTCTTACCAGTTCCCTTCCAGATCTCCAGCCTGGTCAGTGAGGAAGACAGGAGGTCTGAACAAGCAGGATGTGGCTAAATGAGCCTTCGTCCTCTGTGGGAGCGACCTTGGTCCACACTGCCCTGGTCACACGCATAGACAGAGACACACCTTGCTGGGCTGGGACCTCAAACTCTGTGACAGTGGCCATTGCCTTCCCTCTAAGAATGACTTCAGCTGGATGGGCAGCTCAGTCATGAGTCGCTCTTGGGGAAAGAAAACAAGATCCTTGAGCTCCCTCTAGGGGACAAGCTTTGTCAACTAAAATGGAGGGGTATTTTTGGAATATGGCTAAGGAGGGCCTTCTCTAAAAACACCTTGAACTTTTGCACGGAGGTTGGCAAACCACCACCTGTGAGCCGAGTCTGGCATGCTACCCATTTTTGTATGGCCAGCGAGCTAAGAAAGGTTTTAATATTTCTAGATGGTTGAAAAGAGTCATAAGAATATTTCACGACACAAAAATTACATGAAGTTCCCATTTCCCTGTCCACAAATAAAGTTTTATTGGCACCCAACCACACATGTTCCTTTACATTTTGTCCCTGGTGCTTTTGTGCGGGGCCCGTAGAGCTGGGTGGTCATGACCAAGACCTTGCGTGTCTCCCGAAGCCAGAATACTGTCTGGCTCTTTACAGAAAAATCCTGCCAGCCCCGTCATATCTTTATAAAGCAGATGTGGCAACATGCTAACAATTGAAGTGGGTGTTCATTATACTGTTCTTTCCATTCTTCTCTAAGTTGTAATTTGCAAATTTAAAAGCTGAAGGGAGATAAATGCGGATGGCACGTCGTGTCTTTTTTTTGTAGGGCTTCCTTCAGGCAACGTCCCGTTGGATCAGGGGTTCTTGGCTGTAGCTGGTCCTGAGCATCAGAGCACTGAGGAGTCATTTCTCTGTCCGTGGTTTCTTCTCCCACTCGTGCCTCAGGGGCCTCTCCTGCACCTAACTGTGGCTCAAAGCAGGGTGCCACGTCACCCACTGGTGGATTGCAGTACCTACCCATTTAAGACTGCCTTCTCAGGGGCGCCTGGGTGGCTCAGTTGGTGAAGCGTCTGACTCACGATTTCGGCGCAGGTCATGATCTCAGGGCTGTGAGATCGAGTCCTGCTTTGGGCCCCACTGGGCACAGTGGGGCCTGCTTAAGAGTCTTTCTCTTCTACCCCCCCCCCCAAAAAAAGAAAAAACTGGCTTCTCACCTGCATCAAGGCCAGACTCATTTTTTTCCCTTGTGATAAGCTGCCAGTTAGAGTTCTTTTGCCTGACAGTCCCTCCATGGTCCTGCCCCCAGGCGAATAGTGGATTGGGACTTGTCCAACATGGGACTTTTATTTTTACCACTCCTACTTTTTTTGGGTAAAAAACAGCTTTATTGAGATTTAACTTATAGACCATAAAACTCACCTACTTAAAGTATACAGTTCGGTGGTTTCTAGTATGTTCCCAGAGTTGTGCAGCCATCCTCACAATCCTTTCAGAGTATCTCATCACTCTTGGGGAGCAACCCTGTGCCCACTGGCACTCCCTCCCGCGAGCCCCTGGCGACCACATGTCTACTTTCTACCTCTGCAGATCTGCCTATTCTGGGCGTTTCCTATGAATTGAAGCCTATAACATGTGAGGTTTTATGAGCAGCTGCTCCCAGTTAATGCCATGTTTTCAAGCCTCATCTGCGTCATGAGGAAGGGACGTCTCTGTCCCACTGTGTCATGCCTTTGTCATTGCCACCTGATGTCCCATTGCATGCGTGTCACATTTCCTCTGTCTGTTCATCAGGTGACCACATGTGGGTGTTTGCCTTTTTCAGCTATAGTTGGTTTTTAATATTATTATTTATAATAAGCTTCATTTTTAGAGTAGTGACAGAAAAATTGAGCACAGAGTACAGAAAATGTCTTAGAAATCCTCCTCGCCTACCCCTGTACACAGTTGTCCATACTACTGGCATCCTAAATGAGTATGGCCCATTTGTTTAGTTGAGGAACCCGTATTGATAGAGTAGTATTAGCCAAACTCCGTACTTCAGTCCAGTTTCTTGAGCTTTTAGCTGATGTCACTTTTCTGTTCCAGGATCCTATCTGGGATGCTACCTGATATGTAGTTGTCCCGTCCCCTTGGGCTCCTGTCTGGGATAGTGTATCTGACTTGTTTTCGGTGACCTGGACAATTTTGAGGAGTACTTGTCAGTAGGATCCCCTTTATGGGAATTTATCCCATAGTCTTCTCATGCCTAGACTGGGCTTATGGGTTTGAGGAATGAAATCGTCAGAGTTAAAATACAGTTTTCATCACATCATACCAGAGAGAATACTTTCCTCATGATGTGATTGTTAGTGTTGACCTTGGTCACCTGGCTGAGGTAGTGTCTGTCAGGTTCCTCCAATGAAAAGTCACCCCCGCCCCCTGTTTCCTGCTGTACTGTTTGAAAAGAAGTTACTGTGTTCAGCCCAGAGTTAGGCAGGAAAGCTATGCTCCCCACCCTTTTATTTTTTCAGTTAACATGTTACCTTCTGTGACTTTTCTGGGGGTTTTTACCGCTGGTGACCTAGGGAATAATATAACAAGTGAAGGAAAGAATTAAAAACCCCACGTCCCTCACGGATTCATGGGCACAGTTACTGAATGAGGCTGGCCTTGGCACTCAGTTATCATGAGAACCAGCTGCCCCCAGTTCCTCTGTTCCTGGCAACCGTTATGTGCACATCAGAAAATGTAAGACCCCTTGGGATGCCTGGGTGGCTGAGTTGGTTAAGCAGCTGCCTTTGGCTCAGGTCATGATCCCAGTGTCCTGGGATCGAGTCCCGCATCGGGCTCCTTGCTCGGCGGGGAGCCTGCTTCTACCTCTGCCTGCCATTCTGTCTGCCTGTGCTCGCTCTCTCTCCCTCTCTCTCCCTGACAAATAAATAAATAAAATCTTCAAAAAAAAAAAAAAGAAAGAAAGAAAATGTAAGACTCATGGTATAAGATTAGAAAGTTGGGCTTTTCCTTTCCCTTTTTCACCCCATACACGTTCTGTTGGAATACTGGAAAGCAGTGGCGAGAACACTGGAAAACCATTAGGTGAGAGAAGTAGGAGAAGCTCAGGGAGCCTCTAGTAGGACAGTCAGATTTCACAGTGGCTCCATTGCTCCCCAATTTCACTCTCTGTTTCCATCTTAAAAAAGTACAAACATCCATACCAGTCGGTTTGTATCTTATTTTCTAGCAACTGTCAGAAATCCAGAAGTCTAACATGCAGATCAAGTCCAACATTGGCACGTTAAAGGACGCCCATGAATTTAAAGAAGAACGCCCTCAGTATCCCCAAGATTTCCAAAATGTGATGCAGTTTCTTGACAGTCAGGTATGTACCCGCAGGTAGTCACTGCCGGAGGGTCTGATTTTAAGTAGGGAAGCAGTTTACAGCAGGCCTTACCTACAGAAAAGGGATTTGTCTGTCAGTGGCCACGAAGCTGACTCTTTTCTTCTTATCTCCACATACCTAATAATGGGTGTTCATTAGATGCTTGTTGACTGACTAATCGATGCAGATCTAGAACAGTTGGCAAAATTGTTGCCTTTTTTGCTAACATGGTAACACCCTGAATTGTTTGGGATTACTTTAAGAGTTTATTTTTCATATTTCAGATGTAGGTCTCACTTTCAAAAGGCACAGAAAGACACGCTGAAGCACCAACTTAATTTTTAGAGCTTAAATATAAGGCTACGTTGGTGTACTAATGGTCTTTTTCATTTATCAAACTTAATTATAGTGGCCCTCTGTAACCAGCTTGGCAATTTTGGTCATACTAGTTTAGGGGAACATTGTTTTTTTTATCAGGAAGTAAATAGAGATCCAAGTTTATGAATTCAGGATTTTGCTAAAAAACAAAACAAAGCAAAAAAAAAAACAAAAAACCAGTAACATTTTTAAAAAAGGAAGTGTGTTTTTGAAATATAGATGACTGCTCCTGTTGCGTACTTTTGCCGCCCATGTCTTGCCTCCTTCCCCGCAGTCCACCTTCCATCCTGCAACCAGGCTGACCACATCACTGTCCCATCTTATCCTTCCAATTCTGGAATCCTTAACCGGTTGTCAGAGTCCCTGAGGATCTGGACCCTGAGCCATCCCCCACCATTCTTGGCTTTACCTTGAAGGTCCCTGCTGCACCAGAAAATCTCATGGCTCCCCAAACACAGCTTTCTAGGTTTTGCTTTAGCCCTTGTGGCTTTCTCTGTCATGCCCTTCTCGGAGTTTCAGGACCTCTGGCTTCAGCTGGTGTGACACCTCTTTCAGAGTGTTCTCTTGGACTCTGGGTGATTGCCTGTCTGTAGTCCCCTAGGTGGGACCTGCTCACATACACATTGCGGGGGGACTCTCCGTTGTTAAGTTGGCTTTCCTCCGGGGCAGGGCAGAGGGCGGGCAGGGCAGAGGGCGTCCCCTAGTCCTCCCCTCACGGGCCACGGCAGTGAGGTCCCTGGAACATGGTAGGAGACCAGGAATCGTGTCCCCTACTGAGCTATTGATAGTTGCTCCCCACCAGCTGGTCTCAGGAATTGAAGGATCCATTTATGAAATCCTAAGATCCTGCCTACATTTCTCGTTTCCTTCCTGTGAGCTCTGGTGTCAGATCAGAACCGCAGGCCTCAGAGACCTCGGTGTTGCCTCTTAGCTCCTCAGACTGGCACATGAGCACGTATTCTTGAAAATAATTTTTTTGGAGCACAGCCATGCCCACTTCTAGTAGGATGTTCTCCTACTGCTAGTAGTAAAGATCGAGTCATGTGACCCCCAGAGCCTAAAGTTGTCCTATTAGCCCCTTAGCAGAAAATGTTTGCAGACCCCTGCCGTAGAATTTAAGATTAAAACCAAGTGCAAATGTGTTTAAACATTTTTGAGTCTTTGTAGTTAAAAAAAAAAAAAAAATGCCTCTACAATGTCTCCAAGGAGGTAACTGGGTTCCATAGGACCCACCAAAAACTTGCATTTCAAGTGGATTTTACTGCTGCAGCTGCACGTGAATTCCTCTGGTTTTCCTGTGTTGTAGGAAAGCAAGTGGACCGCGCGAGTTCAAGCTCTTCATCAAGAACACAAGAAAGAGAAGGGTCGGGTAAGACTAAGAAAGCAATGGGTCATTTTTGAAAAGAATATATATATTATTTCTCTACCACAAAGGTAGTCTTTGTCCGCTTCATAGACTTTGTGGAGAAATGTGTGGCAAAATTTAAATTTTGTAATTTAATTATAAAATATATAAATAATTCGGGGCGCCTTGGTGGCTCGGTTGGTTAAGCATCTGCCTCCGGCTTCCATCATGATCTCAGGGTCCTGGGATCAAGCCCCGCATGGGGGGATCGGGGGGAGTCTGCCTCTCCCCCCTCTCTAACTCTCCCCCTGCCCGTTCTCTCTCTCTCTCTCTCAAATAAATATATCTTTTAAAAAATAAAATTACTTAAAATTCAATAACCCCTGCCACGACTTTGTTATAATTTTTCTCAGTCTGTGTTCTATGCCGTAAATATTGTGTTTCTGTAATATGGAAACCCATACACATAGTCTTACAAATCTTGAATCATGCCTTATAACTGTATATGCTTTTTGCTTAATATATCACAAATATTCTCCTGTTTTAAAATAGTCATCAAAATCGTGATGTTTTAATGGCTGGAGAAGGCTCTTAAGGATGTTTCGTAAGTTATTTAGTGATTCCTTCCTTGTTGAACACATCGTTTCTGACTTTTCCATCTTGTAGGGTAGCCGTCTAGATACTTTTTAAGAAAAGCAGGGATTGCACATGTTAAAATCATTTTAATGAAAACAGTTTGATGATAACACTGCTTTTCAGCTGAGAGTAACACAGATCTAAGTGTGAAAGTGTTCACGCTGGTGCAGAAAACCTAAAGTACTTTCATTTGAGATTTTAGGATAGGAAAACTTCTGTTTCTTTTTTCACTCTGTATGTATTTTGTAGCCCTTTGTGTCCCCTGTGTCTTAGCTTGTTTGGCTGCTATGACAAAATACGGTAGACCAGGTCGCTGACAAAGAACAGGCATGTATTTCTCAGAGTCTGGGGCTCTAGGGATTGAGCAGAGAGTTCATGGGGTGAGGGTGTGGCTGTGTGTGGGTGTAAGGCCCCTGTTTATTTCTCTAGCCTAAACCACCCTCTGAGCTGCGGAGGGGCTAGCCAGCTTTGGACCTGGTATCTCCAGGCTTCCTGAGTTTAACAGGTCTCAGACGATGTGTTTTCCTTCGTCCAGTGTCATCCTGGTCGGGGCGATCCAGTGCCTGCCATGTGCCCCATCTGTCCCTCAGTACCCAGCTCCCAGCCGTCAGCAGGGCCTTCCATGTGTCTCGTATCTATGTTCTTCTGCCCATTTCATTTCCGTTGCTCTTCCCTTCCACCGAGCCCCTGCCGTTTCTAGAAGGACCCCGCAACTGGTGTCCCAGTTCCAACCTACCCCTTTCCCAATTTGCTCTCCAGAGAGCAGAAGAGTCCCTCTGGCAGCCGGCCATCCCGATCCTCTCTCCGGACCTAACTCTTTCTGACTACAACAGCCTTCTGGTCACTTCGAGAACATGCTGACCTTTTTCTCTTTCCACCAGGGGTTTTGCTGCTGGGCTGTCCTTCCATTCGCTCTCCACGTGCCTGGCTCCTTCCCTCTGTATGAGGGCTCTGTGGGTGTCACACATTACCAGCAGCTGGTTATCTCACAGTATCCATGTCACCCGGGTGCCTCTCTGGGTCCTGTGCTCAGGATCTCACAACCGGCTGTGTTCTCATCTGAGGCTCAGGGTCAAACCAAGCCTGGTCAGGTTATAGGCAATATGTGGCTCCTTCAGGCTCACTGTAGGATCAGGACCCTTACCTCCACAGCTCAGTATCTGGCTGTTGACTTCGTGACGGCCAGCAGGGGGGGGTCTGGCCTGAATGAGACCTGCCCACATAGGACGATCTTTCTTTTCCTGAACTCAGAGTCAGTGGACTAGGGACTTCAATTCCATCTGTCAAGTCCCTCGTGCACGCTTGCTGTATTGTATTGTTGGAGCACATCTTTGATCCCACCCAGCCCATGTCTTGGTCTGCACACGCTGGTGGCTTTAAACAACGGACATTTCTTTCTCACTGCTCTGGAGGCCGGAAGTGGCACGGTCAAGGTGCTGGGCAGTTCACCTCCTGGTGAGATCCCTGTGGCCGATGGCTGTCCTCTGTGTCTTCAGGGCAGGGAGAAAAGGAAAGCCTGTACCCTAGTTTCTTCTAAGAGCACTAATCCCATCATGAGGACCCTACCCTAATTCATCCAAACCTAATCATCCCCTAAAGGCCCCGCCTCCTAAAACCACCATGTAAGGGATTAGGGCTTCAAGCTATGAATTTGGTGGAGAGGGGCACAAACACTCAGTTCGTTAACTCCGCCAAGGGAAAGGGATTATACAGGGCATGCCCTCTGGGGGTGCAGACTTAAGGGCTGTGTAGAATTCTGTCTGCCACAGCCCCTTCTGCCCTTGGCTTCCAGGTCACCCGACGCTGTGTAAGTAGGTAGCCCCCTCCCTCACTGGTCCCACCACATGGTCTCATGTGGTTCTTCGATGATGTATTCACTTGTTTACTGTGTGTCTCTCCAGCTGGATCCCTAGCCCCGTGAGGAAGGGGCTCCGTGTATTTCGTTCTCTGTTGTATTTTGGGTACGACTAACGTACCCAACGTGTGATTGGCGTTCATTAAATATTTGCGGAACCCACGTGGAGGGTGGCTAGTCGGCCCCCAAGGGGAGCGTTCAACCTTGCTTTTCTGGGTGGAGAGATGCTGCGCATAGGGTCTGGTCTGGAAGAGCCGGGTTCGAAGAGTCGTCTGTGGGGATGACTGTGGGTTTGAACCTCCTAAACTCGGGGTCCTGCTTGTCAGCCTCGTTGCGTTGCTCCTCTGTCAGGCACTGAGCCAGCTCGTGAGGGGAACCAGCAGGACGACTCAGAGCCGTTGCTTTTCTGGGGAAACGTAGCGTCCCCTGGAGAGGTTCTAAGGTAGTAGTTCCGAACCTGGGACAGGCTTCAGAATGACCAGTGGCTCTTTGCCAGAACACACACCCCAGCTGCACTGCCCGGGATCCCGATTCTGTCTGGGGTGGGGCGTGTGTATTGCGGGGGCGGGGGTGCACCAGATCCCCCGATGATTTCCATGGTTTGAACCACTGTCCTTATCGTCTGACGTTCTACCCTAATCCTTCAAGGCGTCTTCTAGCATTGGTACTTAGGGACAGAATTCGGGCTTTCGGATGAATAGGGCTTGGTGCTCAGTTCTGGCTCCTTTAAAGCCTTGGGTGTCCCAGACCGGCGTGGGAACCGTCGGTTCAGTGGCTCTCTGGCAGGAACAGAATGCAAGTGGCCGATCTGCACGCTTGGCCACCGCAAGTCCTGATGGAAGGGCCGCCCGGTGGCGGGTTGGAGGAGGGGGGAGAGGCCTTCCCTGGTTCTGAGTGAGGCGCCCCCTCCCCCTTGCCCTGGGGGTGTGGGGGTTTCGTGCTGCCGCTAGGCTACGCTGCTCCATTGTCTGCTGGTTTTGTTCGCTCTGAAGCTGCTTTCTTCTTCCTTAATTTCTCTTAAACTCGAACAGAGGGGAGAATTCAATCAGGTTTGGTAATCTCTGCCTGAAACCTAACTATTAATTATTCCACATGATTGCTGCCTGCTGGTCCTACAATGCACGTATTGTGTTTCTCTGTTTAAGGGAAGTTGCGATTGCCAACTTTTTATTGCTGTACCTAGGTTCCTGGCAATCTTTTTTTTTTTTTTTTTTAAATAACATTGGTAGGAGTTCAAAGGGAGTCACAGATAAATGATGGGATGCCCTTTTGACCTGACAGAAGACTCCAGGGAGGCTGGGAGGCTGTCAGGTGCTCACGTAACAGAGGGAGAGGGCAGAGTCCTATGCTCTGGCAGAGAGAAAGAGCAGGGACTTGAAAGGACAGGAGGTCACAAGAAATGGGCTCGAGGGCCACAAACTCTCAGAAATAATTTCTGGCTATCTAGTGCTTAGACGATCACCTTCCTCTCTCTGCAAACTCCTTTCTGTGCTTTTCTGGTCAATTCTCAAGTCCAGCACCAAAATGTTGCTCTCCCTTAGTGTTTCCTGTGTCCCTTTCCTCTGGAGGGCCTGGACTGACTTGTCGATCCTAAACCTCCACCCTAAGCCCTGGACATTTTCACAGGCTTTTCCTTCTGTTTTCTAGCTCAGTGTTTTTCAAACTGCTTTGGGCCCCTCTTCCCCAATGTAAAAATGTAGAGAAGGTTCTTAACAGTGTTCTGTAAAAATGTAGAGAAGGTTCTTAACAGTGTTCTCCTAGGGGAGATTCTTGGCATCCTCTAGGTTATGAAAGGTTCTTTTTATTTTAATTTTAATTTTTTTAAAGATTTTATTCATTTATTTGAGAGAGAGAGAGAGAGAGAGAGAGAGAGCGAGAGCATGCACCAGCCCAGAGAGGCAGGCAGAGGGGAGAGGGAGAGGCAGACTCCCCACTGACCAGGGAGCCCGATGTGGGGCTCAATCCCAGGACCCTGGGATCACAACCCGAGTTGAAGGCAAACTGAGCCACCCTGGAGCCCCTTTGGTGACTTATTTCTTAAGGCCTGGGGGGCTTCTTGGTTGTTTGCAAGTACTATTTACTAAGATGTTCCATGCCTTAGTCACTAAATTTGAGAGCAATAATTTTTGAAGCCAGACTGGAAAGTTCTGGTCTGGGCTCCTCCCCTCCAGCCGTCTGAGTTCGGACCATCTGCTTTATGCTGTCTGGACCCGAGTCCCGCCTTCTGTACTGTGGAGTCAAAACATGCATCTGTAAGGTTGTGGTGTGGACACAACAGGATGAAGTGCTTGATGAGGGTTTGTTGGGAAGAACCGAGCAAGTCGGGAGGGGCTGCCTCGCCCGCACTCTCTACTCTGTCTACGCTGAGGCACCCTGACCACCCGCCCTGCTCGGTCCGCACATCGCCTCCACTTCCAGGCTCTAGGCTGGGACTGTCCTTAGCTCCAGTGACCCGGGTTTTTCCCCTCTATGTAAGTGACTCCTGAAATTGTTTTAAGAATCTTTGCCTAAATCACTGAAAACAAATCGTTCTTGAATTTTTTTTCCTACGTGCAGTATATGATCTTTTCCGACACGAAGTCTCTGAAGACGGATCTGTCTATGAATCTGGATCTTTCTGTTTTCTGCACCCCTCCCCATCCCTTCTCCCTTATTCCACCTTCTTTTTCTCAGCAAGGATTTATTGAGGTTGTACTTAGTCACTGGACTTACAAGTAAGGAAGGTGGGCTCTCTGTGCACCTGAGGGGCAGGATGGTGTGGGGTTATGGCCCCTCAGTGGGAGCTCCCCGATGCTGGATCATTGCTCATCCTGGCAGTGTGTCCTGTGCTGTGCTCGAGTGCATGTAGTCGTTCACCTTCTCAGTGCTGTGTCTTGGGTCATGAGCTCCCCGGGAGCACAAGTGAAGCCCTTGTATAGCTGAGGCTTTGGTACACGGTTACCAAAGATGTATTCGGTCACTTGAAGTGCACAGATAATCTGAGGCCAGCAAAGAACACGGGGCATGTGTGTACAGATGGCGGGATGGAGACATTGTGCACGCGGTTTGCAGACAGACGCCTTAATTGTTTTTTTTTTTCCAGCTCTTGTCACATATAGAGAAACTTCGGACCTCCATGATAGATGATCTCAATGCAAGTAATGTTTTCTACAAGAAAAGGATAGAAGAGCTAGGGCAGAGACTCCAGGAACAGAACGAACTGATTATCACACAGAGACAACAGGTATTTTTGGCTCCATATTGGCACTGTTTTTCTTCAAGCAGTGCAATTTATTGAAGAACATTCTGTTTTATTTTAGAACATTTGTAAGTTGGATAAGATAAAGGAGGTAGAATATTTTCTTCCCTGTGGTTGTTTGTAAAAGTAAATCCAATAAGATAATTTTTTCAAGGTATTTTTTTTAAACTGTGAAGAGCAAAAATTGGTTCAATTAGAATTTAGAATAAACTTGAAGGTAGAGAAGAATTTCTTTTTGAGATTACTTTGAGAAGCAGCCCAATCCAAAGGCTACCTTTATATAATTTTTGCCTTTGTATCTTTAAAATCCATCTTTCCTCTGTCTTTGGAGGACTTCATGAAAAGGTTAATTTGCTAAATACAGTATCTGTCCATCATCCAGTATGTCCCCATCTGGTTTCAAACTTGTATCACTAAAAAAACCCCAAAAAACAAAAAACGGTTTTTCTTTGCAGATTAAAGAGTTTACCAGTAAACCATTAAACAGCGTCAGTGAGCCCAAAGGTAAGTGGACCGGGATCCCAGTGTTGGAGGTGAGGTGGGCCTCCCTCAGAAGAATGTGGGGCCCCTGGGGGCTTCTGGGCACCCACATGGCATTCCAGTGGTGATTTTAATTTGAGAGATCTGTCACCTTGATCCAGAGAGTTGAATTTTTAAATACATTGACTATCACTAAATGGTCTCACCTAGATTTTATCAGAATATTGTTAGGCACAAAATCCATGCTTAGTAACCATACCTCTGGACTGATGAGTGATTGGGGGTCGGGGGAGTGACTGCTAAAAGCACCAGGTCTGGAGACACACGGGGCTCAGTGAAGCCCTGTGAGTTCTGCCTCCGTTTCCTCAGCTGTGGAGTTGGAGCACTCAGAGTAACCATATTACAGGCTTCGTATGAGGATGAAATGGGGGAACACGTATAAAAAAGGCACATTTGAGCACTCGTGGGGATGCGCCATTGTGAACGACCCTGGCCTCAGTTACTCCAAAGTACTGTAGGGGCTGGTTGTTGACTTGTCAGCTGAGGCAGTTGGGGGATAAAAGTTTGTTCTAAGCATAGTGGGGGCACATCCAGCCTACTGTCTGTGGTGGCAACAGCCACCCGTCTCCTCTCCCTCAGGAGCGAGTCTAGAAGGGAGGCTGCACCCGGAAGTGCATGCAGGGTCTCCCAGTAATGCACACAGCTCGCCTTTGCCTGGACCCCTCTCAGATAACAGAAGTCTTGGCTCCTGCTCATCTCAGGTCATTAAAGGATCCTTGTCTACTTGAGGGGGCACTGACTGGGGCTTGGTAATGGCTGTCTGAGCTGGATCTCCTCCTTGTCTCTAGGGGCCCCCGAGGGAGTTCAGCGACCTACATACTTGGTTCCTTGTTTTGAGATAAAGGTTTGGGAAGGGCCGAGGTTCCCCGTAACTTCTCTTCGAAATTGTGAGAGTTCAGGTAGTGAGCAAGAGCTGTGTAATTACTCAGCATGAATACTTGAGTGATAATAATTTTAGGAAAAAGTTTTATAAGGATTTATATTAAACGTCTTTACTCAGATGGGTGAGTCACCATATGTTGGTAAATTTTGTTTATTTTTTTTCTGGGGGCAAAGATTAGGATAAGCGCTGACAAAATATAACCCATAGCTTGTGATTTGGGTCATTAACTTTTTCTTTTTTTTTTTTAATTTCAGGGAATCCTGTAATCTGGCAAACTTTCGAATCTAAGCCAACTGCCCCAGCTGTACCTAGTAAGTTTCTATAAAAGGCTCAGGATTCTAAAGATACTTTTGAAGTGCTAAACCAATAGACAACTTATTATTTTTAGAGCCTTGCCTTCGAAAACCAGTGTGTTTAGAGATTACATGATGATCTATTTTGATTCCTGGCTTTGACCTAGATCTAAAAACCCAACACTGTAAATATCCTTGTGGTTTTGTGGTGATTTTGGTTAGCCGTACCTATTATGTCTCAGTTCACCTAATCAAGGGACAACTATAAATTCTTCGGCATTGTTTCACTTTGTACTTGCGGGTTTCCCAAGGCGTGGTGCTATGTGACGACGTGACCTTGTGGTGGCCGCCACATTTCAGCATCACTGAGACTCAGGGTTGCAGGCTTTGACCCAATGTTCTGTCAGCCGCTCACCTGAGGTGAACTCAGCATGTCTGTCTCTTGGAGCTGTCAGGATTTGGCTATAATCCACAAAGACATCATCTGGACACTGTCGAAAGGAAAGGTTGTTTCCCTAATAATAGTTACATAGTTGAGATATTTTTATTATTTTATTATTCCATTCAGGAAAGTGGAAGGGTGGAGGAAACTAGGGAGCAGACGGTCCTGGGCAGGAAAGGACGTGTGTGTGAATGGGCATCTGAGTACCAGGGGAGGGTCCAGGCTGAGGCTGGGCCCTCAGTGATGGGACCATTCATATGGGCCCAGGACTGCAATGATGAAAGGGCATTGGTGAGCAGATTTGGGAATTTGGCACAACTGACTGGAAAATGCTAATGGTTTTAACTGCTCGGTCTTCTCCTCAAGTGCTTCTGGAGACCTTTTTTTTTAAGATTTGTTTATGAGAGAAAACAGGGGGATGGGCAGAAGGATAAGGACAGAGAATTCTCAAGCAGACTCCCTGCTGAGTGAGGAGCCCGCTGCACGGGCTATCCCAGAACCCTGAGATCATGACCCAAACCGAAATCAAGAGCCAGATGCTTTACCGACTGACCCACCAAGACACCTGATTTCTGGAGGCCTCTTGATGTTGTTTCTGGAAGCTGAAGAGGTTAAAAGGTGTGAGGAGGGAAGGGAAGTTTAGTCCCAAGAGTAGGTCTGAAGGAATAGTAGAAGCTGGGCTTATATCTTACGGAAAAAAATATATTTCATAGAAGGATGGGAAGGTTAAAAGGCATTAAATTGCTCTTGTTCATACCTTAATTAGACTCGGCGCAATAGTGGAACAATATTGGGTTCCAATACAACTTTATTTACAAAGACAAGTGGTGGGCTACTATGTCCTATGGGTTATACTTTTGCAAACCTCGATCTAGGTGATGTAAGTTGCAAATGGCTTTGAGGGTCTTACATTTCCAGAATAGCTAGCAACCTGTACACAGTTAGGAGCTGAACACCTTTGCCGGTGATCGTCGTAAAGACAAAAACGTATGCCTACGGAGGAAGCTGAGGTTTGTGGCCAGTGGCTTTCAGAGTAGGAGTAGAATTAAAGATCTATCGTAACAAGCTAGTGAAAGAGAAAACTAACAAATGCATGGTCCAGAGAGGAACCATGACACGAGTGTTCACACCAGCATCGTTCATAACACCTGAAAAGTGGATACAACCCACATCTCCGTCAGCTAATGAGTGGATGTGTAAAATGTGGTCTGATCATACAATGGAATGTTATTTGGCCATAAAACTGCATACTGGGGGCGCCTGGGTGGCTCAGACGGTTAAGCGTCTGCCTTCGGCTCAGGTCATGACCCCCAGGTCCTGGGATCGAGCCCCACGTCAGGCTCCCTGCTCAGCGGGGAGCCTCCTTCTCCCCCTGCCTGCAGCTCCCCTGTGTGTGCTCACTCTCTTTCTCTCTTTCACAAATAAATCAAATCTTAAAAAAATTAGTAAAACTGCATGCTGAGGCTGTCATGGATGAACTTTGAAAACGTGATGTTAAGTGAAAGAAGCCAGTCACAAAGGACCACAAAGTATGAGTCCATTATGTATGAAATGTCCAGAATAGGCAAATCCATAGAGACAGAAAGTAGATTGGTGATTGCCAGAGTCCACTGGCGGGGGCAGACGCGGGGAGTCACAGCTAATGGGTGATTTTAGTGCGTGTGACGACAATGTTCTAAAATTAGGTAGTGGTTATGGTGGCACCACTCTTATTATACTAATTGTATTCTTAAAGTTGTATATTTTATATTGGATTATATATTTTAAAGGAGCAAATTATATTTTAATAAAGCAAAGAGTGTTAGTTTAGGTTAGCTGGTGATTGTCATTTGAAACATTTGTCCCTTACGATCTATACGTAGCTTGACTAATTTGAGGAGGACTCGATCATCATGAAGTTGAGATGCTCATGTTTTTGTTACGGAAGGCTGTGAGCTTTTTCTCTTTCTGCTGTTTCAGTGAGTGCCTCACCCGTACAGACTGTGGATACTAAATCAGGTCTCACAGTGGCCCACGGTAAGTCAGCCAAGTCTCAGCATTTTATGTGCAGTTTCTGCCCTGAGTCAGAGAACTGATTAACCACAAGTACTTCTGTGGGGTAACTATGCAAAACAGAAGACGTTTTAGTGAATGCGGAGAAGTTAATAATACTGCTGTCTTCATATGTCACTTTATCATAAACTGTATATACCTACCAAAGTCATAAAGTAAAAAATGTGTGTGTTGCTAGACTTACAAGCAGAGATTTTAATGTTGAGTGGTACTTTGATTGTGTATGATTTTGGGTGGAGAGTGATAGGTGTTGGGCAAGGAGGTGATTTTCTACTAGACCAGCCAACCAGCACATGCCACAGGGCATACCTGACTGTTTTTATAACTTTCAGTGCAGCAGCAAGTCACCTTTTTTAAACAAACAGTTTCAGCGATTGGTTGGAAAAATCTAGAAAAGACATGTGATGGAAACCAAAGGGAAAATTGGGAGCCTCAGGAGGAAACCACTGCCAGGAGTCAGTTCCTGGACCAGGGTGCGAGGGTGATAATTGTTAATTACATGATCTAGCTGATAGGTGAATATCAGTCACCATATTTTATTTTTATAGTGTTAAGGCACTTACAGTTTTTGTAAGTATGTTTTTAGTCCATTGTTTGCCTACAGTCTTCTGTATATTCACTGAATTAAAAGATGGGAGGGGGACCAAGTTTCTTCTGTCTTACCTATAAATGCTTCTGGAATGTAAATGATTACTTCATTCCATTTTGCTTTTTAGCCTTTGAGTTAGACTTAAATCGATGATGGGCAGTCAAGTCAGACTTTGTGTGTTCAGAAATATTTTTCACATTAGCATGGCCTTCTGTACCCATCCTTTTTGTTCACTGAACAGACTCATGAAGGTGCTCCTTACTTTTTCTCCTGAGGTCATTTCAGGCAGGTCAGTACCCCCTAAGCATGTGTTCACACTATGTAATGCATAAACTCCCCACTTACTGGGTGTTAGTACTTATAGGTGTTTAGAACATGCAGGTGTCCTCCTTCTGGACCAGCAACAGAGGTAAACTATGTGTGGGACCTATGTAAATTTGCTTTAATACTGAATAGGCAAGAAAAAGTCCCCTGGCAAGTACTCCCTAGTCGTATTCTTTATGTCAGGTCAAAAACCTCTCTCTTGCCTTCTTTTTCAGAGTTGAGTTTTCTAACACAGTGCTGGTCACTTCTCTGTACTTCAGTGTGTTAGAGTTTCTTTTTCTGTTTCTTGCTACTTTGTTATCATTAGCCTTTTGTGTGACAATATAAGAGGACTACATTTTCTTTGCTTCCTATTTTTGGCACCCAGTAAAGAACTCCTATAGTAGGTACGTTTAGCCGTCTGGAGTTGATTCGAGTCCTGACAAATCCATCAGTTTCAAAGCACTGTGTTCCTTATGGACTTTGCCCTGATTGGAGCTGGGCTGCGTGAACAGCCATGCCCTCTTGCTGGCATCTGTTGGGATTAAAATGCTAGTTTTAAATGCCAGCCAGACCTGGCATGAGGCCTGATGCCTTTGGATCGGGATCTGAGCTGATTTGTGAGCATCTCAATGGGCAGGAGCAAGGAGGAGGCTTGAACGGGGCCCACTGACCTGCTCCCCCCCAACAACCATGGCAGTGACCCCAGCTGTAGGGGGTGGGGGCAGAGGGACAGGGGGCAGGGAGCCTTAGTCTGTATTGCGTAACATTATTTAACCCGATTACCTCTCAGTCTTTCCTGTTGTTCCTTCTAGAGCTCGATGAAGCTCTTTAGGATGAAAAATGTCATGATCACTCACTGTCTTGGGTTGGGTTCCCTGGGGAAACAGACTCTGAGGTGGAGATTTGCAGGCGGGAGGTCTGTTGGGCAGTGTTCTTAGACAACCCCTGTGAGAGAAGCAGGAACGGCTAGAAGGGGACACGGAACCCGAACTCACTGTGGTGGGGGCCTCTGCAGATCTCACCGGGAGCTGGAAAGCTGGTATGGGCTCTTCAGACTTGTCCTGGATAGAGCCATCAGTTACCAGATGTGGGCTGCCCCAGGGAGGGGTCAAGGGTGTAGGCTGCTCCTTTCCACTGAGACAAAGCAAAAAGTAGAAGCCAAAGGTCAGAGGAAAGCACTAGAAGGGAACGAGTGGTGCAGATGAATTATTTGGCTGAGCATAGGGTATGCAGAAGAGATCTGAGGGAAGCCTGGCTGGTTGAGACTGTTCGCGGTGAGCCCCGGGTGCCAGCCTCCAGACGCTCAGGCCATCCTTGGGCAGGATATAGCCGCTGAGAGGCTGGGCATGGCGAGGCTGGAGGGCCGGAGCTTGGGGAAGCTCAGCCCCACCAGAGTGTACTCCAAGAACTGAACCGGACAGACCAGCTGGGGATCGAGGAGGGGGTCTCTATGAGACTCTTCACCTAGGAACTGGGGTTGAGGTTTTGAGACAAGAGGGGGCAGACATACCAGCTGTTTCGTGGAACTGTTGGAAAGGTGTAGGTGCAGGTGATTCGGGCAAGGGCGAGGGAAGGGTCAAGACCGCCATGAGCTCACGAGACAGTGCCATTTAGAGAAGTCCAGAAGACAAACCCAGCAACAGCCAGTAGGAAGGCACTACGGTTTCGTGGCCAAGAGCCTGAACTGTGAAGGGAGGCAAGCAGTCTGGATTCACAGGTGACTCATGAAGCCATAGGTCTGGGTTTCCTTGCCTACCGAATGGGGAGAACAGGAATGGCTGCTTCAGCGGGCTGTGGTAAGGTCAGATGAAGCAGTGCCTTTGGAACCGGAGGCAGTGAGCAAGCACGCCGGCCAGTGTTAACTTTGGGGGTCGGGCTGACAAAGTCCAGCACAGCCAGCCCGTGCCAGAGAGGGCTGGTAGAGACCTGGGAGTTCGTCTTCTGGAGGTAATGGCAGGAGACTGACATAAGGAATTTTCTGGAAGCCTCTGGAGAGTTCAGAGGAGAGAGACTCAGGTCTTGGAGTATGTCAGCTCAGCCTGGATATCTCAACGTAAGACAAGAGCTGGGTCATTTGGAGGCTGGGCCCGTGGCTTAGAAAGCATGAGAACGGCAGGCCCTTCCCTCCACATTGGATGTCAGTCTGCTGGGTTAGAGCTGGGGTCTGGTGGCCCTCATTTCCTTAGCCTGTATAGTAGAAGCCCAGGTTCCCCACCCCTCAGAACCCCACTTTCTGCCTGACAGCACCAAAGGTCACAATTTTGAAGCTTTTGTCTCCACTCAAGTAAGTGCTAGGACTGTCCTTATAATGATAACAAAGATGCATAGGATGGTTTGGGGAGATTTTATAGAGCTTTTCCTCATAACTTTATTTTTGTCATTTCCATAAAGGGCAATAAAATATAAATCATGTGACTTTTAAAAAACTGAAATTAGCTATCCTCCTAAAATCCCTGTTTTTAGCAGTTCAGACAAGTAAGTAGGCTGTTTGTAGAACTTGACTTTTTAATTGTTTAAATTTTTTATTGAGATAAAATTGATCTACAACATTAGCTCAGGTGTGTAGCACAATGATTCCATATTTATATATATCATGAAATGATCACCACAGGATCTAGTTGACATTCATTACCACATATAGCTACAGGGTTTTTTTAAATTATTATCTATATAACTTTAAAATCTTGATGCTGAGTAACACATTTGAAAGCACATTTTTGATGTTCAGCAGTTGTGCATGGGTAGAATTAAATGCTTCTTTGTGAGATCATGTTCATGTTTCAAAATTGAGTGGGGTTATTTGCTAATAAGCCATATTCCAAACGTTCACTGGAAAGCAGTGTAAAACGGTTTTCTCCCACTCAGTGTTAGATGGATTGACTACGTCGCTAACAAGCTAGAAGAGCCTCTTTACATGTACTTAAATATAATATATATTTATTTATTTGTGTATACCTGTGTGTGTGTGTGTGTGTGTGTGTGTGTGTGTGTGTGTGTGTGTTTGTAGATGCCTAAAACAGAGTATCAGAAATACGCTTTGGCAAATTAAAAGCTTAGACTTCCAAGTAGGAGGTGTTAAGTCTAAGCTAATACTTGCAAAGCACGTAGATCTGTGCCCGACAAGCTGGTGGGCGCTCAGTAATTATTGGCCGTGACTACCCTTGCTGGTTGCCCACTCTGGGGTCTACTGTGGACTGAAATGGCCTTCACCTTGTAGGCGCAGGGGGAGAGCTCCCTGGGGAGGTGCCCTATGGCACTCTCCAAGCTGAAGGTGAGTGAAACACGCACTTGCTGGCTAGACTTCGGTTGCATTTTATCCCAGTGTCCGAAGCTTGATTTCCTGACCCCCCCCAAACCTGACCTTCCCCAAGAAGGAACTTCCCCTCTCTTAATGGGATGGGGCTTGGCTTTACCCAGGCTGCCCATAGGTTTCCTTGAGCCCCAATCATGTTATCTGGGAAGTCACTGAGAGACCTTTCTCCCCTACCCCCACCCACCCAGGGCACTGTTCTGGGGTGGGATTGAGAACAGCTCCTCTTCACATGTCATCTGTCTACAGCCTTGCCTTGGTGGCTTTCTGGGAGCAGAAGGAGGTGTGAACCATGGGGACATGGGGACACAGGCGTGTCTAAGAATGGGGTCCTCATCCTACTGCTGATCCTGGGTTGACCTGTTCTCTCACCATCCTGGTCCTCCCACCTGAAGACCTTGGGGCTAGCGAGAAGTGGGGATCCCAGGGCCTCAGCATTTTGTCATGTTTTTAATCTTTGGGAATTGAAATAGTTTCATTAATTTTCTCTTTAGCCACCTCATCAAAATATTTTATAAGGAAGGTATTGTGCGGGGGCGGGGGGGATAAGTGAAGAAGACCTTTTGCAGTTGTGTCCTTGTGTCTTAAAAGAATCCCGTTAGGCACGAGATTGCTGAGTGAGAAATGATGTAATTATCTGAAAATGTAATTTCCTGGGGGGGGGTGAATTAATGGAAAATACACAGAAAGAGCAGATACCATGAAAAAGGGACCAGCTTTAACTGACCACCTCCATATTTCTTCCCAGCAAATTCTGCTGTTTTAGGCATGATTAAAATACCGTGAAACTATATCTTTCAAAATTGTTTGAAAGGAAACTAATTTTACTTTGCTGTTTGTCCTGTTTGTACTATTCTTATTTTTCCTTGTTAATAGAGCAGGCATTCTCATCGCACATACTGGAAACCATAGAAGAGCTTTCAGAGGAAGAAAAAGGTAACCAAGGACTCGCTCAGGGTTTCTACCTGCATAGATTCTATTGAGATGCTAAAACCCAAATCTTGAAATTGACGATCCAGTGGTTTTGTCACACCAGTTAGGGAAGACATTTAGGTTTAGGGATGACGTTTTCAATCCATCCGTAGTATTCTACGATCTTATTCCTTTAATATGCTGTTATATTTTCCCCTGCTTTACTGTATTCTTAGCATGTGACTAAGACCTTCCTGTGTTAGGGAACTTGGGGGACAAAAAACCGAAGTCTTTACGTCAATGCAGATATTTTTCTGGTCAGAGGGCAAGTCAACACAAATGCGTTGTGCGCCATATGAGACAAAAATATTCCTAGCACGGGAGTTCTTTCACACCCTGAATCTGTGAAATGAGAGGGTGAGTTGCCCGTTTCCATGTTATTTTAATAGCAAGAAAAGCATGTTCAAGCTCCCAATGTAGAATATTTGTAGGCAGAATGTCTTAAAAAAAAAAAAAGATATATTTATTATAGAGAGCAAGTGCACACATGGTCGATGGGGGGAGAGGGAGAGAGAGAATCTTAAGCAGGCTCCGTGCCCAGTGCAGAGCCTGATGCAGGGGCTCGGTCCCACCACCCTGAGATCATGACCTGAACTCAAATCAAGAGTCAGAGGCTTAACCGACTAAGCCATCCGAGGGACCCCTGGATAATGTCTTTATGGTGAAACTTGGGAACAGTTCAAGGTTTGGGGAGAAAATTAAAGTCATTGTGGCTTATTCATTTTATTCAGCAGCTCTCAAAATTATTTCTTGTCAATTAATCTTTGAAGTTTATGAAAATCATTGCACATTATTTAGAGTATTTCCTGATTCCAGACTTGTAGATCCTGAAACAATTGTACTTGAATCTGTTTACCATCATTTTCTCCTTAACAATGATAAGGATTGACACCCTATATTGTCTCTTTAGGAGAAAGCAAATTGTTAATATTTATATGAACTCGGGTTTTACCCTTTGTGTTAGGAAGAGAATGAAAAATGATACATTCCGATTTGTAAATTCTTAATATTTGTTATAACTTCTGTGTTCTCTAGATGACTTTTTCCAAATTATTTTTTTAAGATTTTATTTATTTATTTGTCAGAGAGAGAGCACAAACAGGGAGAGCTGCAGGCAGAGGGAGAAACAGGCTCCCCGCTGAGCAGGGAGCCCACTATGGGACTCGATACCAGGACCCTGGGATCATGATGTGAGCCGAAGGCAGATGCTTGACTAACTGAGCCACCCAGGCATCCCTTCCCAAATTATTTTTAACAGGGCTACAAATCAAGACATGACTCAGGCACGTCCATTGTATCTGTGTGATGTTTATTTTCCATTCGCTTTCAAGTAATGTGCTTTTTCCCTCCGACATGTTATTTATTGATGTCTGGAACACCAAATATCTTATTTTCAGCAGAATCCATGAAATGCGCCAGGAGGTTATACAGAGTCTCAAGTTCACACTCATTTAAAAAAAAAACAAACAAAAAAACAAAAAACCAAGTCTGTTAGATTCCTAGAGACCGTCCTCACTTAGTCCACTGTCACCCCTCGGGGCCTCCACTTAGACCCACGACATCCTTCTGGCTGTGTTGTAGAATTCTTCTCCCCAGTCCGCATAAGATGTGAGTTTGGGACCACTGCCAGCAAACGCCCTCATTTGTTGTTGCCACATGCAGGGAACCAGACTGGGAAAGAAAATAACCTTTGCCGCCTTCCATGTGTTTAGACACAGCTCTAGTGGGACAGGGACAAGGGCCGAAGCCAGACAGGCCTGAGTCCCCAGCACGCTGTTACAGAAGCCAGTGACCACACGAATCCTTCAGGAGCTCTGTGGAGTCAGCAAGCCGCTAGCACGTAAACTGCCATCAGAAAGTTCCTCGGCTGGGCTAACATTTTGTAGATGATGCCTGTACAGCTGGATTTGGGCAGTGGCGTGCACAGCACGGGGGCTGTTACCCAGAAGCGTGCATGACCATTTCTGCATCCTTAACACTTTTGACAATCCTGGAGCGGCGTATTTGATCTTGCTGTTCTGTAGGATGTTAGAATGTGGGCCAGCAGGGGTCTCAGAGGCCATTTCATTGTTCAGGAATTCGAAACGCAGGGGGACGGGGAGCGTGCTCCAAGTTGTTGAGCTTAATTAGTGACAGGGCTGGAGCTCAAGCCCAGGTTTCCAGCTTTCCACAGTTTACCGCAAAGAACAAAGGGGACAGCGGCAGGCTGCTCCAGGACTTGGGGGGGGGGGCGGGGGTTGGAGCAGTGTCTTTACCTCTCTGGTTTTCTCATTCTCACGTGAAAAATGAGAAGACTGATTGCTAGATTTTGACATCCCTTCTGACTCAGAAATTGTTTTTTGGTGTTTGTTTTTCACTCTTTGGTTTGTGCTGTAGCTATTTGTTCACCAAAACTGGTACGTTGTACGTCTGCTAGAAATGATCACTTGTGTGGGCTGCTGTATGTTGGGCCACCTGCCTGGGAAAGTGTTGTCTTACTGATCTTGGTGAGCAGTACGTGCTTTGATTAAAATCTTCCGTTGTGATTGGCTTTCCAGCGATGAATTCCACCTTTACATTAAAAACTTCATTTTTTTTTTTCCTGTCCATTCTACATTCTTTCTCTTGGTTCCCCCTGACCAGCCCCAGCCTCGTAAGAGTCCTTCCTACCAAGAGTTTTCTCATTATCCATAAACAAATCCAAAGCAAGCATCAACATATAATGCAAATTTGAGAATAGGGGAAATGTTTAATTTGCAGTCATTTTGGGAAACTCAGTCACCAGAAGGAGCTAATCATCAGGGCTGAGGGTGAACCCAACCCAGTCGGCAAACAAATTCAGTTCTCTTGACCCAGGTCCTGGGGAGCAGACAGAGCCTGGAGTCTCTCTGGCTGTGCTTCTGTGTAGTTCTTTTTTATATCCTGGGCACTGGCCCGAAAATTCCCTTTGTGTGAACAGGGCGGGAGTTGTGTCTCTTCCTGTGGTAGCACCATGACCCCTGGGCAGTCTCTCGGTACCTCTTCTCGTTGTTCACCCTAGATGGTTTTCTACACTTGATGGCCAGCCAGCCGCCAAAGTCCGCAACACGGCCACGGCTGCAGCTAAGCCCTCTGGATTTTGCTGTATTGTTCCCAAGACAGAAGTGCCTTTTTTTTTTTTTTTTAATTTTATTTATTTGAAAGAGAGAGAGCAAGAGTGTGAGTGGGGCAGGGGTGAGATGGGGAGGAGCACGAGGGAGCGGAATAAGCAGACCGCACTGAGCGGAGAGCCGATGCGGGCTTCCATCCCATGACCCTGAGATCATGACTTGAGCCAAAAATCAGGAGTCAGATGCCCGCCCAGCTGAGCCACCAGGTGCCCCCAGAAGCATTTTTTCTAAGGTGTCTCCAGAATATTGGAAAACATTGGTGAGAAAGCAGCATGAATGCTGAGAATGAAAAATTCAGGATTACTTTTGATTTTTACTAATGCATAATCTTACAAAATTTCGTAATTTCGGTTTCGCAAACCGCAGTTCCAAATTATAGAACAGCATTAACATGCAGGATTTTTCCTCTTACCTAATGTACACACAGTTCATTGAACTACTTTTGCCCTCAGCAAAAGTGTGGATTCATGAACAGAAATATTCTTTACTGCTGGACTTTTAGGGAGTTTAGGGAAAGTCTGAGACATTGCGGCGTTTTGTTGTGGATCTTCTGTCAGTCTGAACATCGTGGGTCCCTACAACTCCCATCTAGCAGGGTGGGTGGGGCTGGGCCCCTGCAGCCCCAGACCAGCTCGGCACAGGCACTAGGCACCACCTCCTGTTCGGGGAAAGACTCCAAATGACAGCAGTGTCATCGTGTTCTCCCAGACCTGGCTTTGCACCTTCACAAAGGGTCAGAGGAACCCAGGAAGGAGCCTCTTCCATCAAGCCCTCCCTCTGCTTGGACATAGGACTCCATTCAGGGTCATGTAGTCACTCCCCTTCCCCAAACGCTCTTGAACGCCACCTGTTTTAGTGGGAACGAAAGAAGAACAGGGAAGGAAAAGTTAGGAGAATCTGGCCAGTTGTTTTTTCCTTTGCTTTTAATGATTAGGTTGTTGTAAACAGAATATACTTTTCCTAAGACTCTTGTTAACCTCTTTTTCATCTTGGTACATATTTTGGGAGGGATAATTTCACACTTTGAAATTTTGTATCAATTTCAAATTACCGATTTCAAATATATCAATTTCAAAATATCAAATTAATAAGTTCTGCTGAACTTATTAAATCAAAACTTTATTACTTAATATAAATCGGGCTTCCTCAAAAATGATACATAGATTCTAATGATTTAGGCGAGATGAATTCTTCAGAAAGTAGTAAAATAATTTCAGGATGGACCATTGAATGTCTAAAGAATTCCTTTTTTCTACCGTGCTTCTGCAGAGACATTTCTCTTACATTATTCATCTAATAATGATGCAGTTAAGGGGTCAAGAAAGAGTATTTTTTTTAAGATTTTATTTATGTAGTTATTTGACAGCGAGAGAGGGAACACAAGTTGGGGAGTGGGAGAGGGAGAAGCAGGCTTCCCGCCCAGCGGGGAGCCTGATGCGAGCTGGATCCCAGGACCCCCGGATCTCTTGACTCAGGGCTGAAGTCAGATGCCTAACGACTGAGCCACCCAGGCGCCCAAGAAAGAGTCTTTAAAGACACGGAAGTTTTGAGGCCAACTTAAGATACTTTTAAAAGTTGTGATACTTCAGCACCATATAAATGATTAAACAATCCAAAAACCTTATCACATTACAAAATGCTTGCTTGCTATTTTTAAAAGCAGTGTTTTGCCATTTTCTACTTAGAGCTTTTATGTATTTAAAATTTTAACACACTTTGTAAACCTTATTTCAGGAAGGGAGAACGAACAGAAATTAAATCACAGCAAGGTCCACCTAAGGAAAGCTTTGAAGAGTAACCCCTCCCTCACCAAGGAAATAAGGAGCGTCTTGGAGCAGAGTTTGCTAGAGAAGCTGGAAACCTTGGGGATTAATGCAGTAAGCTCATTCATTTTGGGAACGTTCGCTGGTTGTGTTGTATTTTGTTTTCTCAATAGGAGAGGATCAGAGAAGAGAAGAAGGCGTGTCTCTTCTGTCTTTGTGCACTCATTCTGTCCTGATGGCCCAGCTTGCATTATTGGTTAGACGGTCTCTCTCTCTCTCTCTCTCTCACACACACACACACACACACCCCACTCTCTGTGCATTTGGTCCTGGCGCTCACCGCCTAGCACCACTAACCAGTCCCGTGCACTCATACACACCCCTCTATGTCCCACTGCCCTGAGAGCTCCTCTTGAGGCCAGAATGCTGTGTTCTATGTCAGGGCGTCCCCTCCGTCGGATGCAGCAGTAAGGACAAGGTTGGCACAGTTGATGCTGACAAACGCTCATGAAATGAAGAATGTCCCAGGCTAATAAGCTTAACGTTGTATTGCTTCAGGATATACGTGGAATTCCAAGCGATCACTTCAGCAGGGTGCTAAGAACTGTGGAATCAGCAAGACACGAACGAGAGAGACATATACCCAACATTCAGCAAATTCGAGACTTCCTTGAACATGAGGTCAGCTGTAAAATTGAGGAAAGAACCTTACTGACCTCGGGTAAGCCCGTCACTGGCCGCCATTTCATTTCTGCACATAGGAAAGAAGTCCTGTTGCCTTTAATAATGTTAAACAGTTTGCAGACTTTGGAACTTCATTGGCAAGTCTCGTACTGTTTGGACCGTTATAGGTTGAGTCTTGGATTTAATTTTAATACTAAAAAATGGTGGGGCGCCTGGGTGGCTCAGTGGGTTGAGCATCTGACTCTTGGTTTCGGCTCCCACATCGGGCTCCATGCCCCGCAGGAATCTGCTTGGATATTGTTATTTCCTCTGCCCCTTCCTCTGCTCTCTCTCTTTCTCTCTAAAATAAATAAATCTTTTTTAAAAAATGCCTGTCATGTGGACTGTAGAGCCAAGAGCTTTTTGGTTTCAAGAGCCAGCGTAGACAGTATTGTAGTATTTTCTTGTGCTTTTCACTCACTGATCGCGAAGGCAATGGAGATTCATGAATGATGGTACTGTTCCAGATAAGTACGTTCCTCAAGTGGATACCCTTTCCAATGGAGAGATACCCAAGGCTGTGCAGCTTCCTCCCAGAAGCAGACAGCTGATAAGACAAAGACCTGTTTTTACCGATAGGACGTCTGTCCCAAAGTGAGTATTTTCGACCCTAAAAGGTTTGTACTCATGTTTATCCCGGTCAGCTTGGGCTGCTATAACAAAATTCTGTGGACTGGGAGGATTGAACAACAGAAAGCTATTTTCTCACACTTCCGGAGTTTGGACGTCTGATAGCAGCATGACATATGGTCGGGTTCTGGTGACAGCCTGCTTCTAGGTTGCTAGATGGCCCACCCTTTCACTGTGTCTCCCTGTGGCAGGGAGAGAGAGAGGTCTGATCCCTCTTCCTCTTCTTAAAAGGACACTAATCCTTTTATGAGGTCCCCAGCCTCATGACCTCTAATAAACATAATTACCTCCCAAAGGCCCAACCTTCAGAGAGTGTCCCTGCGGGGTTAGGACTTCAACACGTGGATTGTAGGGCCACGCAGACATTCTACCCACAGTAACGTCCGCCCCAGCAGAGCGCCACGCTTACAGTTCCTACCTGCCTGTCCTTGGTACCAGCCCATTTCTTGTAGCTTATTCTCTTTAACAAATGTTCAAAAGCAAAAATTACCCATTCCATAGAAATTTATATTGAAAATTACATTATTCGCTTGTGCCATTTAGAAATCGTTTTCTTTTGTGTTTTAGAATTAAGAAAAATATCATAGAAGATCATTTTCCCAGAAAGACTTCAACTATTACGTGAGTACTTGGGAGTGGGGAGAGGGCGTTTAAAAAGCTCTTTCCCCTGAATATTCGTTTTGTTGTAAATTGGTATGTGCCCTGTGATTAACTAAAACCCTAACTATTAAACATCACAATTCATTTGTCACCATTCATTACTCCTTTGTGTTACATGTCTTTGTGTCTTCATCAGATTCTCTGTAAGTCAATAGCCCTTATCACCCTGTGGCCTCCATCCACTAAGAAGTGGGGTCACCTCCAGTCATTTCCATTGTTCCCCTCTCTGTGTCCCATGATTTTCAATAAGCACAATGAATTCAATGAATGATGTTGTCTTTTAGTGGCTGGATCTTTGAGAGTATAATCAGATGATATGGTGTTCTTACAGACATCAGGAATGGTGCTAGACCTTACTCTCTTGGGCTCTCTTAGGATAGTAAGGATCCTAGCTCCGTCACTCATGAACTTGTTCCACTGATTCTCTTGCTTACCTGTTTAGGCCTGTTTTCTTATCTGTTCAATGGGGCGATGCTGCTTTTTTCACAACACAGTTCTATAAATTAAGAATATATGAAAAGAGTTTGGGAGTGCATGGCCAGCTCAGTCAGTGGAACACACAAGTCTTGCAAGGTCATGAGTTGAAGTCCCACATTGGGTATGGAGCCTACTTTAAAAAAAAAAGTAAAATAGATAAAAATTAGAAGATTAATATTTTACAAAGAAAAAGAGAAAAGAAAAGAGCTTAACCTTAGGGCTTGGCACTTAATGGGGACTTAATAAATTATAGGTACATTATTGTTATTAATTATAAGTAAAACTAATCTTATCATAACTGAATTTCATCATCGACTTTTTCTAGAGGTATTACTGCTATAAATATCTCTTCTTGAGGCATTGTGTATATATAATAGAGACAAAATAAATTATATAGATAGTAAGGATGGTATAAATAGAATATAATAGAGACAATAAGATGATTGACCTTTCAAAAGCATTTTTCATGTACAAAAATCTCATAGGAACCTTATTTCATGGGACGTAGTATGACTGAACATTGTCTGGAAAAATTTAAGTAATCAAAGAATATTCTTGAATGAATGAACACTGCTATGAACATCTCACTTTATTTTTTTAAATAACTTTAATTTTTCTTTTTTAATTGTGGCTAAAAAAACACTCACCCAACAATTTCCAAGTGTACCGACTATTGTCAGCCATATGTACATTATGCATAGACAATTCCCTTTTTAAAAAAAATTTTAAATTTTTTATTTAAATTCTAGTTGGTTACCATACAGTGCAATACTTTCAGGAGTAGAATCCAGTGATTCGTGACCTCCTGCAACACCCAGTGCCCGTTGCAGCAAGTGCCCTCCTTAATGCCCATCCCCCATCTAGCCCATCCCCCCCACTTTAAAATGGGGTGCTAATTCAGGTGATGAAGCAGGTGGGATTGTGTCTATAAAAGCGCTCCGTAAAGTACAGCGTGGAGGTAAATTATAAGTAATGATGCTATTTTATTTTTTTTTTTAATTTTATTTTTCATAAACATATAATATATTTTTATCCCCAGGGGTACAGGTCTGTGAATCGCCAGGTTTACACACGTCACAGCACTCACCATAGCACATACCCTCCCCAATGTCCATAACCCCACCCCCCCTCTCCCAACACCCCTCCCCGCATCAACCCTCAGGTTGTTTTGTGAATGATGCTATTTTAAAAGATGGGGTAGTTTTACCACAGAAAAGATTTCTTTCCCCCAAATCCTTGGGTTTTCATTTAGGACCCCTCCGTTCAGTTCGGAGGAAGAGCTAGATGGTGATGACGTCCTCCAGGCGTGTGCATCCCCGGACTTGCTTCCTGCGCCGTCCTCCAAAAGCAACAGGTGTAGCTTTGGGAAGAACACGGTCAGAAGCGACACGGACTGGACCGAGGGAAGTGAAATCGAGGACTCCGATGTTTCTCCCAAGCCCGCAGGTGAGCTCTGGTCATTGAAAATCCTTCTGGAAATTTTGTTTGGAACAGTGGTTCCCGGGGGGGGGGGCCACCAAGCACTGGGAGGAGAGGCTGAGAAACTGCTCAAGGAAAGAATGGGGCTAACCCAGAAGCCACGGCTGCCTAAGGAAGATGCCCAGGGCTTAGCAGCTAATTGACACTCAGGTGGAAGGAGAGGAAGCAGTTGGGGGTGCCTAGGTATGTTCATTTCCGAGGACTGTAGGATCAAAGTACTACATATCTTGTGGCTTAAAACAGAAATTTCTTGTCTCCATCCTAGAAGCTACAAGGCCAAAATCAAGGGTTGCAAGGCTGGTTCTTTGTGAGGGCCATGAGGAGAAGATCTGGTCTAAGCTTCTGTCCTCAGCTTGGAGGGGACCATCACCCTCCCCCGTTCGTGCATCTGTGTCCGAAATTCCCATTTTTATAAAGACACCAGTGGTACCAGATTTGGGTTCACCCTCATGAACTCACTTGAATTTGATTACCTCTTCAAAGGCCTTCTCCCCAAATAAGGTCACATTGTGAGATACTGGGGATGAGAACATCATCATATGACCGTGGAGGGACGCAACTAACGCACACACTGGGCGTCTGTGAAAAGGGCTGCTCTCAGACCCTGGGCCGCCTGGGGAGACGGGTTGGTTCTAAAGGAGCAGAAGAGCCAAGTGTACGGCTGCTGACCGTGTGCTGAAGAGAAATGGGGCTGAAGGGTCATTTCTTAAAAAAAGAAATTCTGTTTAATGCAATTCAAAAATTATATATTTTGAACATACCAGATATAATTCATTTATTGTATTTTATACAATTTTTATTTATATAATTATCATTTTATATAATTATAACTATATAATTATATAAAAGTTTTTGTTTATATAATTTATATAATTACATAAGATTTATATGATTACATAAGATATAACTAATTAATTTTAAAGTAATATTGTTTTTGAAAATACCCCCATGAATATTCTACTCCTACAGACTACCTCACTGAAATTAAAGTTTCTGACCACAGCTTGAATGAGGCCATCCTTCTTTGATTTCGAATGAAACCTTGGGGTGCCTGGGTGGCTCAGTTCGTTAAGCGACCACCTTCAGCTGAGGTCATGATCCTGGGGTCCTGGGATCGAGTCCCGCATTGGCCTCCCAGCTTGGCGGGGAGTCGGCTTCTCCCTGTGATCTCCTCCCTCTAATGCTGTCTCTCTCTTATTCTCTCTCTCTCAAATAAATGAATGAATTCTTTAAAAAAAAGAACATGTTACTGCTTCTGGTCTAGGGGATCATGATTTTTCTAAAAGGAGTTATATGTCTTAATGTAACTTTTTACAACCCCCAAAATATATCAATTGATTTTAATTTAATAAACATGATGATTTGTAATGCTCAGACTCTTTCAAAGTCACTTGTTCAAGATATTTTGGGATCGGAAAAGAATTTTTTTAAAAACTGTACCTATTTTCTGTTGGTCACACAGGAACCGCCATTAAAACACTAACCAAAAAAGTTGAAAAGACGGTTTCAAATCACAGAAATGTGAATAAGCCAGCGGGTGGGATTAACGTTGCTGAGGCGTTCATCAAAAAAGAGTTAAAAGAAGAACTAAAGGTAAAATCACCCTTGCTCTCTAAACACACAGAGAAATTCATCTTTTAACGAATATACCTTAATAACTGTACTTCTTATAGCAAAATGTCAAACAAATATTTAGTGGCAGCCGATGAGATGTATACCGTACCTTGTCTGCAGGATGGTTGCATTTCTTTCTGTTCTGTAGAGAATCCAGGATATTGGAACGACAGTGGGTAAGAAGGCATCACGTGCTTCTTAGGCTTTACAGGTTTTCAAACTCCCATCACGTGTCTGGCTTGACGTGGCCAAATATTAGCGAGTTTGCACCCGGATGCTTGGGACTGGCTAGAACCTGGGCCTCGGCTCCGGGTCCACGGCAGGACCTGACAGTAAGATAGGGACTGTGGGGGTCTTAGCCCCACTTGGGAGCTGAGTGTGCAGAGAAAGGCATCAGGGAGACAAGGGCAGAGCCCGAGCTCTCTTCCCAGAGTGGAGGAAAGGCCCCAACACCTTCCCAGCAGCTCCAACCTGAGGTTCAAGGTCAGATTATCCCAGATTACGTAAGAGCTCTTGCCTGTGGACCAGCCCAGCTTTACTGCTACAACGTAGTGTTTCCAAGATTTTCTAAAGTCACGGCCGGTAGAGTAAGTAGTAAACATGGAAATTCCATGGCAAGAAACAAGGTTCTGTCGTCCTACAAAATGCAGATTTCCAAATCCATTTCCTTGCCCTCCAGAAATCACCAGACATAAAATCTCCGAGGTTCCCCAGCTTCAGATCATCCGGTGTCAGCGGCCCTGTCTGGCCAAGAGAATAACCAAGGGACGCCCGCATGTGCCGCGTCTTTAAGAAACGCTCACGGCTCTCCATGCATTTCTGTGCATTTCTTTCAGTGCGCGGACGTGGATGATGACGACTGGGACCTGTCATCCTCAGAGGAGGAAGGATCTCTGGGCAAGAAAACCGGGAGAGAACGGAAGGAACCTCTCCTTGTGAAGAATGAGGCAAATTCAACTCAAGTGCCAAGTGCCTGGGGCACATCTAATCTGAAGGGGCCACATGCAGAAGGTTGGCTGCTTGAGCGCCTTGAAGCGCTGTCCGTTTTCCAGTTACTCGTGTCCTCTTTAAAAATATCTAACGAAGCTGCGTTGAAACAGCATCGGACAGAAACACTGCTGGTGTAACAAATACCATGTGCTTTGTGCACACTTACTCCTCTTCAGAGTCCTTTCGCCCGGGTGTATTTAATTTGGACCGAAACTTTAGTCTTTAAATTTTAATGTTATTTTTGAAAATGCCCACACAGATACTCTCCCCATACAGGTGCCTCGCGGAAATTAAAATTTCTGATATTACAGCGGAATGGGGCCATTCTTCTGGCAGTCTTCCTGTGTTAATCTGTTTACATATTAAATGTTTCCCTTTATTTTCTTTGAGGAAAGATTTCTCTTGCAACACTGTAGCCAGTGGGAGGAATTAGAGAGGAGGCCAGGAGCTGACATTGTTTCTGGATGAGTCCTAGGGTCTGGCTAAGTCCAGTAACTTAACTCCCAATATAGTTAATTTTTAAAATTATAAAATGTGATTTGTAATTTTTGTCAAAGTAATTCTTGCACATGGTGAAAGGTCATCTAGAAGGGCTTGTCTGCGCCCTTCCCCCAGCTACAGCGCCCGCCCTCAGGTCTGTGTGGCACCCCAAGGTCCACCACGTCTCTTGATAGTAAGTCAGACTACAGATTCCAGGCTCATCAACTTTAGAAATGAACTGTTTTTTTTTTTTTTTTAAAGATTTTGTTTATTTATTTGACACACAGAGAGAGAGACAGCAAGAAAGGGAACACAAGCAGGGGGAGTGGGGGAGGGAAAAGCAGGCCTCCCGCTGAGCAGGGAGCCCGATTTGGGGCTCAATCCCAGGACCCTGGGAATATGACCTGAGCCAAAGGCAGATGCTTAATGACTGAGCCACCCAAGTGCCCCTAGTCTTGAACTCTTGATGTCCTGCTAAGACAGATGGGGGTGTGGCTCATTTTCTGCTCTCAGGACAGCTCTCAGGACTCCTGTTGGGTGTTTTCCTGCCCCCATCTGTTAATTTTTTTTTTAAAGATTTTTATTTATTTATATGACAGAGAGAGAGATCACAAGTAGGCAGAAAGGCAGGCAGAGAGAGAGAGGGAAGCAGGCTTCCCGCCAAGCAGAGAGCCTGATGTAGGACTCAATCCAAGGACCCTGAGATCATGACCTGAGCCAAAGGCAGAGGCTTAACCTACTGAGCCACCCAGGCGCCCCGCCCCATCTGTTACTTTAAATTATACGTGCAAACCTCCCTGCCCTTCCCATTTTCAGCAAGATCTCTCACCACATCACTTTGTAAGATGAGCCATTGCTGCGCCAGCCCTCCAAGTCATCTTTCCTCTCCCCCAGAACATGAGCCGGGCCTTTGCTTTCTCACGGTGCCCATCACTAGCTTATCTGTGCTTCCTAGTGAAGCCCATCGACCCTAGAAAACCCATATCTACCATTTAGTTCCTCCTTGGCTTATTATAATTTTATCCTCCTTTCTTCACACCTGTCACTCAGAGTCAGTAGCAACAACAGAACGTTCCTGAGCGCGGTTAAGGATCCTGACCCTGGGCTGAATACAGAGGAAAGATGCTGAGTGGAAACCTCTAGACAAGGGTCCCTCATGGTTCCCTGGAGATGTGGCCGTTTTCGTGGCCCTGTAGCCTCCTCCAAGCCTGTGGGAGCTGGGGGCGTGGGGATTAGCCAACAGACCTGGACACTGAGCGACAAATGACAGATTTTTACAGGCTCATCACTGGAGCTCCTCTTCCTCTTCCTCTCTCTCCCTCCACAGGACTTCAAGACGAATCCAGCACCCTGAAAAGCAGCTTAGTGACGGTGACTGACTGGAGCGACTCTTCAGATGTGTAACCACCGCCTCAGGGGGGTCAAGGTGAAGACACGGGCAGGTTTCCAGCGACCTGCCCACAAGACCCCCACCCCCCGCTCCTGCCTTACAGTATTTCCCACGAGAACACCGAAGCTGATTCCAAGAACAAGGATCTCTTTAACAGCACCTAATTCAGTATCAGAAAACAAAAATTGTCAACAGTATTTTGAAGCATATAGAGGTGTTTGACTTCTGCTGCTTAAAATTAATATGTCATTTGAAGTCATAAAAAGTTTTTTCTTCAGAACGGTACTCTAGTGTTTAAGTGTATTTTTTCAACTAATTTTTAAGTGAATTTTTTTAAACTTATAGCAGGTTTCAGTTTGAATTAAAACTTTTTTTTTAATATATCTTATGTCCATTTTCACACTGGAAGTGTTTTATTATAAAATTCCATTAATACGCTTAAAATTGAATTAGTGGAATCAGTGAAATCTTAAGAGTAGATTGGTTATTTTTCATATAGAAATAAGTTTAGAATTATAAAAATAGAGCTGGGCTAAGTTAAATACATTCTCCAGAAGTATGTACACCATACTCCAACTTGAGCCCTTGTAAGCATGTTGTTATTAAACAATTATTTTACAACGTTAAATACCATTTCTGCAGTATAAGCTCTACCTTGGATATTTTATGAGTAAAATGTAGCTGTTTTCAATGTCAATTAATTTATCAGTATATGCAAAGGTTGAGTCATTACTGAATTCATACGTGTATGTCGGGTTTTTTCCCCACTCTTTTCAAATGCCAACCCATATTATAAAATACCTCAAAACTAATTAGTTCTGTTCTTAACAATTGTCAGTGGTCAGAAAGTTCACATAAGCTGTCTTTTGCATTTCTTTTTTACTTTGTGGTACTATCTGTACTCTGCCCCCCCCCCCCAAAGTAACATTTTAACTAACAGTCTGTTGGGTTTGGATCTCTTTTCAGTTCGCCAACTTTTCAAGTAAAGCCTTCCCTTACCTCACTGTGACTGCGGCTGAGTTATTAAGGATGAGTTCCAGAGCCAAACTTACCTTGTTGGGAGGTCCGGCTCACCCTGTTAGCTGTGCCACACGACATCCTGATCTGAAGCCACAACCATTTGTATTTCTGCCCCCTCCCCCACCTCCCCCAAGGGTCCTTTTCACTTGTCCACTTGCACATTTTAAGCACTTCCCACAGGGGCCGTTTTATGGAAATGCACTCACTTTCTATGTAAGCACTTTAATAAAAAAATATATTGGCATTAATAAATGCCAAATCAAATTTCCATATAGGAGGACAGAGATAAGCAACACACCAGAGCCACACCGTGCCTGAGAAGGCACACAGGCCACTGGACTCATTCAGTCACTTTTCCAACAGATATTTATTGAAAGTATGTGGGTCTATTTTGTGTTTTGGGTTTTTTTTTAAGACTTTTTTATTTGAGACAGAGTGAGAGCGAGTGCATGAGCAGGGGGAGGGATAGAGGGAGAGGGAGAAGCAAACTCCCTGCTGAGTGGGGAGCCTGACGTGGGACCCGATCCCCGGACCCTGAGATCATGACCCAAGCCCAGACCCAACTGACTGAGCCACCCAGGCACCCCTATTTTGCTTTTTTAACATGCATCATTTGCTCATTTAATCAGAACAACTTTGGGAAACGGTATTTATCATAATCCTCATCCTGAAGGTGTGAGAAATGTAGAATTATTAAGTAATTTGCCCAAAGCCATACAACTAGATAGTGACAAGAGCAAGCTTTACTCGGGTCTCTGTGCTCTGCGTCTCTGCTCCCAGTGGAAAGGGTTGCGGAAATGGGATGAACTCTGCTATGCAAACCCAGTATTTAAATTAAGTCGCCCCATCTGTGTTGCAAAAGCCACTCCTTGAACTCCTCTCTTTCAACCTACCATGCTGTCCTCGGAGATGTGGTTCCTTCCAGTGGTCTTTGCATCCTGTGTTTCCCTTCACCCATACTCAGCTAACACGCTTGTGGTTCCCAACAGAGCTTTTCTGTGTTTTCACCACCCCCTCCTCTCCCTAAATTCTTCAGGAGCTAGAACACTTCAATACAATCTAAACATTACCTTTAGTACCTTCAGCACAGCTCTGAAATAAAAAACTTGGTTCTAAACACACACCCATAAAATCCTGCCCCCCACATTGGCCTGTAGCACCTAATACCCCGTTGTGGCTTTCATTGCATTTGTATCCCTAGAAGAGATATTTATAAATATTATATATATAGTATATATCTTATATTCATATTTATTTTAATTATATATTACATGTTTATATATTTTCACATATATTTCTACATATTATATATGTATATATGTAATACAAAGATCATTTTTTTAGTAACAAACTTGTTCATTTCCTCTTCTTCCCACTGAGCATCTTCCAAATAACGTGATTTTTCCCTTTTAAGTCTTTAACGCTGTTCAGAGACCACTGGGGCAACTTACATGCCCTGAAAAATGGTAGGTCTCTCCATTACCCAGAGTGGCTGTGCACACAGGGCCCGAGAGACACGCCGGAACTCACCCATCACTGTGAGCAAGGCAGGTGCCACGCAGGCTCTGGAACCTTCCCCAGAGTCAACCATGACCAGCGTCTCTAGCCAGGTTCATGCTGACGCTTCAGCCCTGAATCTGCTTTCTGTATCAGAGAAGCCTAAAGCTGTTCTTTAAGGTGGACGTGCCAGGCAATGTCCTGGCCCCATTAGCCTTTCCTTGAGCGGTCACTGCGACTCACACTGGTGACAAAGAGGTGTAAGAAACTGGAAGTCGTCGCGACACAACCAGTAACCTGTCCATTCAACCCAAACATCTTTTGAGGAACAGCCTCAGACTTCCCCCACACTGTTCATAAGACACCACTCCTTACACACCTTCTGTTTAATATAGGAAGGAAGAGAAACCAGGAATGGGGACAAAGGATGCCACGTCTGAATGATCAAGAAGGCTCCGTTACACATACTTGATCCGCTGGTGCTAAATTCTTCTCACGTTCTATAAATGTACAAAATATGTACAGATCCTGTAAATAACCTGTTTATTTTTTTATAGAAAGCCACAACAGAAAATGATTAGAATATTGACATCCACACAATCAGCAAATTCTCCAAATTCATGTTTTAAAAATAGTTTGGATGTGAATTAGAGGAGGGCCTCGAGGAGGGGGATCATACGGTGAACAGTTCACTTTTACAATAACTCGAGACAGCTCGCAGCAGGGCTCTTTTCAGACGTACGCATTTTTATCAAACTGTTTGGAGGGGGTTGTGGTTTTAAAATCTCCTTCTGCTCCATGATACTTTGTCCGAGAAGACAGGACGGACGTGGCCCCGTTGTAGGAGTATCCCAACCTGCAAGGCAAAACATAGTCTGGCAGATCCTTGTGTACACGGAGAGCAGAAACCATCACCCCCTGCTTCTGTCCCAGCAGTTTCAGACCTTCCCTGATGACTCCGAGTGAGCTTTCTCTCTTCCCCTCTCTCGACACCACTCCCCACCCACCCAACTGTCTCACTGTCATTTCTGAACAGTTAGTGCGAATTCAGCGGAAGAAACTCGAGCTTGTTCGTCTGCTCAGTTTTTCTCTTTTAAAACCCATCTTCCTGGACCCTGGGGATCGGAAGGACCTTCGTCAGGATTCTCTATGTGAAAGTGATGAGGCTTTTAATTATATATTAATTATAAAATATAATATATATAATATATAAATTATAATTATATATAAATTATAAAAACGGTGAAGTTTACGCAGGAAGCCCTATCGTTCTGCTCACAGAAATGGCTCTGGAGTGTAAGAAGGTAGAGCTCTGGGTTTTTTTTTTGTTTTTTGTTTTTTAAATTAACTTTAACTGTATATTTATTCTATTCACTGTATTGATTTTAGTTAATATTATCTTCACTATATGTCCCAAACTTTTACCAATCCTAGTTTTTGGACATTTCTGAGAATCATGTGAACAATCTCTAACTTGCCCTACCTGGAATAATTTTAACAGGTCATTCCTGTCTCTTTTCCATACCTGGGAGGTTTGTTGTTGTCAGATATTGAAAAGCAAAATATGACTCCACCAATGATGCAGAGCGAGGCTCCTGCCCATCCGATAAACAGAGCAGCTCCTAATTCGTACCTGCGAGGGAGTGCGTACAGGTGTTATGGTGGACTTATTTGGGGCATAAACAGTGTTTAAGACCAACGAGCCAAGATTGCCTAAATGCTCATCGCAAACGTTTGCTACCGCAGCTTGTACAGGAAGTACCAACACCTTGTATCTGTATAACGCATTAAACTTCCCTCGACGTGTTTTTCTAGCCACCTCTTGATTGTATCTTCCTGACTTCCCGAAAGGAAGAAGAGGTGATCCCTGCAGGCAAAGCAGAAGCAAAGCCAGCTGAGGAGCCCAGGCCTCCCGGCTCAGCTGGTACCTTCTCTCTGGGCCCGTCTGAAGCTCACAGAATGTTCCATCAAACTGGTCCGCTGCGCAGGGTAAATTATTTCACAGAGTCCGGTCAGAAAACGGCGGGTTCCCTTTGCTTTCAGTTTAATTCAATTCAATAAACATTTCTTTGCAAATCATGTACGAGGTGTTGAAGGATGGCAGAATATGCCACCCCCAAACAGGCCACTGGGGCATGAGGGTTATTTTGAGCTGAAGGCAGCAGTGGAGAAGCAGATACCAGAAAAGCTCTCCACCCCTCCCCATTTGTCTTAAAGCAGGACATCGATTTGTAAAGATGTCCCTCCCAGCCCCCCTACCCTGCCTAGCAGGAAGGACAGAAGTTAATCACCAGAGAGCACAGTACACTGGGGGGTGGGGGGGCACACAAAGACACCAGGGGGATCTTCATAACAAGCTCAACTAACCAACCATATCTTCCATTAGTTCCCCCATAGATCTGCCTTCCCAGTCTGCTGCTCTAGTAGGTCAAAGTCCTTTTCTCTGGTCTTGTCACCTCTCTCTGAGCTTACTGTTCTTTTATTTAGATACCATATAAGCCCAAGTTCTAACCAGCCCTTTGAGTTACTCATCACTGAGGACTCCTACATGTCTCCATGATGTGCGTGTTAACCAACTCTATTTTTCTCCGGTTAATCTGTCTTTTGTCAGTCTAGTTTATAGGGTGCAGCTAAGAACCCAGGAGAGTGGGGGCGGGGAGAGAAAGTTAAGTTCTTCCTCCTCTACAGAGCCCATACAAAGTCAGTGCTAGATACAGCACTATCTTGCTTATCACCACAGTCTAGTGGGAGATAAATACAAAATAACATCATTTAGCAACAGATTGCCATCTGGCTATCCACAGCACTCTGCTGATGCCTCAAGCCGATGCAAAGATCCACCCGATACACAAGTCAGCTCCTGCACTGGGCAGGTCCCCACACAAAGATACAAATGATGCTATGGAGAACAAAAAAGGAAATCACTTTTTGCTGTGGAGGACTAAAGGAAATCCTTTTACGGGAGGAGCACTCACCCAGAAAAACAAATAAGGAATGACAAAAGTATACCAAAGTGTTAGGGCTGTGTGTTTTCATGTTTGCCTATCCTTATTCTGACGAATAGGGATTTTTTTAAATAAAGAAGTGATTCTCAAGTTTTTTTGGCCCATAGATTTCTGTCTCAAGGCAACGACTGATGGACGTTACCCTCAACCTAATGGGGATAAAAAGAAGTGGAGACCCCAAGTGGAAGGGGTCTCTTTTGGTCACGCAGAATCTGCAGAAGAGCTGAGACAGGAAAGTCAGAAGTGAGGGTGACAAGGGCCAAGGCAGGACTAAGGCAGGCTCCCTCCACAGCCAGTCCCCTGAGCCAGGCGTGGCGGGTCAGGCTTAGGTCTCAAGGCCATACTGCGCCATTGAGAGCAGGAGGCATGTCCTGCCTGGGCCCATCCTGAGTTTTGCCTCATCTATTTCTACATGCTGTGTCACTGGCCTGAACTCCTGGCTGGGCAGGGGTAGGCTCTCTGGTCTGACACAGCAGTGAGGGAAGAATGGCCCCGACTGCCAGCTGGGAGAAGTTAGGAGCAACACTCACTGAAGATTAGGAATGTTGGGTCTACTTGCTCATTTGCAGATCTGGCTACGGTGGCATTTTCACAGCCTGCATTTGCTGCCGCGGGGTCCCTTCTTTTCTCACTCTTGTGTTGCCTTTTCTGGGAAACCCAGGGGGTCACTGAAGCAAGGAAGAGCCTCAGCAGAACAACCAGGGGGTAAGACCTCACCCTGAAGTAGAGCACCAACTATGTTCTGGAAACCAAGAAATTCTCCACATGCTCCCAGGAACAGAAGATTGCTGTAAAGGGAAACAAAACACCCTCAAACTGCACACAAAAACTGGCCCCAAAGGACTCAGATGCACTGGTTAAAAGAGCTGGCCAGGCCAAAAGCGTGAAGTCCACAGTTCTGTGAAAGATGCCTTCATTAAACGATATCCTGAATTTCCACAATCAGCCCTTTTACAATGTCTGAACACAATCATGAACATAAAAAAAGAAGAGTGCCTTCCAGGTTGTTAAGTGCAGGTCATCCAACCTCTTTAAAACATCTGAAAGTCCTAGGGAGCCCAGATGGCACACTCGGTTGAGTGTCTGACTCTTGGTTTCCGCTCAGGTCATGGCTTCAAGGTCACAAGACTGACCCCATGTCAGGCTCTGCACTCCAAGTGGAGTCTGCTTGAGATTCTTTCCCTCTCCCTCCCTGTCTGCCCTACCACGTGTGCGCATGCTCTCTCTCAAAATAAATAAGTAAAATCTTAAAATGAAGAAACAAACAAAATTCTGCACGTGCTATGGTAGTAAGCTGGAGCCAAGCACCCCCTGTCACGCTGTCGCTGTAAAGACAGTCACAAGTGAGCACACTGAACATTTCTACTTGGAGGACATTATCATGGGGTTACTGTTCAATGATACTTTCTGTTTTTCTTTTTTGTCCTCCTAGAGTTCAGACAGTCTTCACTCCTGAAACTATGCCTTAATATTACTCTTCGTGCAACTACCCCCTGAAGCTACAGCCAGAGGTTTTTCTTAAAAAAATATTTAGGGGCGCCTGGGTGGCTCAGTGGGTTAAGCCTCTGCCTTCGGCTCAGGTCACGATCTCAGGCTCCTGGGATCGAGCCCCACATCGGGCTCTCTGCTCAGCAGAGAGCTTGCTTCCCCTTCTCTCTCTGCCTGCCTACTGTGATCTCTCTCTCTGTCAAATAAATAAATAAAATCTTAAAAAAAAAAATTTAGATTTCTAAAAGAGGATTCCAGTGCTGGCTACCACGATTGATTAAAAACAAACTTCTAATTATTAATAATAGTCAATCAATGGCAATGGTGATAGAAATCATAAACCATGGCTCAGCACTGTGAATTCACTCAAAGGAGCACGCAAACGTGTATACAGTGTTGTCACAAATCAGAAGATAAATTACTCAGGCGGGCCAAATGTCAGGACATGCCTTTATATTCATTTACGCTCATCTGGAAACTTCCTGAGGAATCATGGGTTTGACTTAGGCTAAAAACTGGTTCGTGTATTCCTATTTTTAAATATACTTTCATTTTTCTTTAAGTCTGTAGATATAGACTCTATTCCAAGAAAAATTTCATTTCCACTTGAGTTCCTTGTGAGTTCTGTCAGAGACAAACAATAAATAGTACCAGCTCAGAGCCGAAGTCTCTGAGAGACTCCATGTCTACACCAGCAATTTTTAACAAGCTGGCTTTTGTGACTTGGTCCTTTCTCTCGCAGAGACTTTTTCTTCTTCCTTCTGTGAAAAGACACGTAGAGCTGACTAACTCAGCAGGGACTCAAATTTACACCTATCAGTGTGCGTGATCTGGCAAAAACTGGCTGGTATTACCGAAAGACGGGATTGAGGGAGAGCAATATAATATCCACTCAGATTCGTTCCAGAGCATGTCTCCTTTGACACTCACTGGGAAGCTTAGTCTCTGCCTAAAAATCTTTCTTCATTTTTTTGGGTAATGCTAAGAAGCTGACTTCTACACCTCAGAAGATCAGCAAATTTCAGGTGCTCTATTGTAGGTCTTTCTTTTTTTAACCATGCCCTCCTGGCCCCAGAGCAGCTTCCCCACTCAGAGCATGCCCTCTTTATTGGGCTGCCACGATTGCCGATGTTTTCTCATTATTCTAAAAAGCTATAAATCTGCTTAGCACCAGACAGATCCAAGATTGTCAAGGAGAGGACAGAATTTCGTTTCATGGATCAAAACATTGTTTTTGGAGTACCTCAAATAATCCACTCAGCTGGCAGGACTACTCAATTCATGTATTAATTGCCTGACTTCAATTCATGTATGTCATTGAATGTAAATTTAGTAAATAGAGGAAAACTTTACTTCCATCCAGAGGAATGAAAACAAAGACTAATTCCTTAAAAATTCCCCCCAAAAGAACCACAAAGATTGAACACATTCAAATGTCCTCCACACTACTGGGTGAGATTATTCTCACGCACCTGGCTGTGCCTGGTAGCACACCGGAGGCCTTAATTCTGATCATCTCACACTTCAACTCGTATTTCAGCCCTGTAACCTTCATGGTAATCCAAAGGCATGGAATGGAGAACACCTCTTATTGACACCTCCACTTTCCATCTTCCTTGCATCCAAATCCCTGTCATGACTTATCAGCCACCCCCAGGGTGCTCGTGTAGCCTACTGGGGTCACCAGCACAGAAACGACATGCCAGGCATTGTGCTCATCCTGTATTTCGAGGAGGATGAGAGAGATACAGCTGTGCTCTCAACGATCTCTGAGTCCCGCAGGGATAGGCAGATACTAATAGCAGCCTCAGAGTGGAATGAAATTTAACAGCAGCATCAGAACAGCATGATTTTGCCCAGTAAATATTATCTGTTCTCCCAGATCCAGAGATGTGGTTCAAGTAAACGCCCACAACAATAGCGACGATTAGAGTCAGCTCACTGTACTAGGATTTGTGTGTGTGTGTGTGTCAACATTTCGTTCTTTGCATAATTACACTCGATCTTCACTCTAATCCTGAGAGTATTGCTACCCCGTTCTACAAATGAGGAAACTGAAGCTCAGGGAGATGAAACCACATGCCTCGGGCCTCAGCTCAGTAAACAGTAAAACCAGGATTTAAAGCCCAGAACCGTGATT